CAAGGTTAACTTTAGTTCATTCGATGCGACTTGACGAGAGGAATTTCGATGAAACGAGACACACACCCAATCCCACCTTGATCCCACCGGCCGCGAGCGACCTTCAAAACAGCGACTCACATGTTTGAGCGATTGTTTGAAACTAGGTATGGGTAGGTCCTACGGTCTTGGTTTGAAACGGCGATTCGTAATAAAGCGCCTTCAGAGGAACAGCGACAATTCTAGGCTAATCGTGATTGGAAAAGCAAAAGTTGACGATTTCTTGCGAACTAGGTAGGTAGGTACATTTTTATGTGAAATGCACTCGTTTTGCATTATTATTTGCTAAAAAATCACAGCAAGGAGTCGATATCGACCTTTATTTCGTAACATACTCGTATTTACAGGTTTGTTTCAACTCAGTCGCTCATTCGTTTCGATGATGATAATTTTTCGTTGATATCGTTGATTTTTCAGGACGAATTAATTGTCAAGTTTGCCCCGATCGCGCCGGGATATCGGAGAGTGTCATACGACGTCTTGTTCCGCGAAACGAGCGCATTTATCACACAAAAATATACTTCGCAAGGAATCGCCAATTTTCGTTTTTCCAACCCCCATTACAGAAAAGTCGATGTTCTTCTCAAGTCGCGCTATTACGGATCGCCGTTTTATATGATAGGTAATCGCTCAAGCGTGAGTCGCTGTTTGTTTTAGAGGTCGTTCAACATGCGATCGCTGTTTTGAGCATGAGTCACTGTTTTCTGTCGCTGTTTTTAAGACGCTGTGGCTGCATATTCTGAGTAGCTGTTTAGTGTTTAACACGCGCACACCGGCGAAATACCCTGACAGCTGCCGGGATATCACTGTGAAGTGTGAAACTGCGATACTGTATCACTGCATCAATACTCCATCACCCGATTTGAGAAAGAGGGAAAGAAGTGGTGGTGCCCGTTTCGGAAAATATTTGTATGTATGTATGTATGTATGTATGTATGTATGCATTGGTCTAAAATCCGTCCACTGGGTGGCTTTTCGGGATTTGCGTCCTTACAGCAGTACAACATTAAACGAGACAAAACAATGCAAAGGTGATACAATACAATAGCAGATAAGGGAGACAAAACGACAAGATTCTAAAACACAGAGCTTAAAAATGTATACCGTTTAAAACAGAGACTGACGCATAGCGCGTTTAAACTCTCGGATGGATCTCATTTCAGTTACTCCAACTGGCAGATCGTTCCAGGTGACAGCGGCTCGATACCTGAACATACGTTGGGTAGATGTCAGTCCATGCACGGCGGCAGCTCGAGCTGGCCGGCCACTGTGGAGCGGGTGCAGCGGCTCGAGATCGCCGATCTCGCTACAAACATGGAACGGATGGTAGCAGGTCCAAGTTCTTGCACCAAAAGCTTATGCACTTTGATAGCGTCCCTTATCTCGACCAGCCGCTCCACCTGCTCCCACCCCAGAACCTGGAGTGTCGGGCCGATCCCGTCCATCTTCCGTGCCCCTGTCACGATGCGGGTCGCAAAGTTGATGACCTTTTGGACTCGCGCAAGCTGAGTTTTGTTGGCTCCACCCCAGACCGAAATGCAGTAAAAGATGAATGGAAAAACATGAATGTTAATCAGACTTCGTAAAATGTCATGAGAAAAATGATGCCGAAAACGGTAAAGAGAGATGAGGAGTGAGTTACATTTTTTAACCACGTGACTGATATGATCCTCCCAGGACAGAGTGGGGTCGAGCACGACACCCAATACTCGAATGGAGCTGGATGGTGCAGGGGCGGCGCCACGGGTTTTCGATAGGGGGGGACGGGGACCGAAAATCGAAAATCCCAAAAGTAGATACTGATCGTGTATGCAAAAAAAAAAACGAGGCACGTAACGCCGCGAAACTTGGCAAGGCCCAAAACACATCGAATGGTGCATCCCGTTTCCAAACTTATCCTAGGACACCTAAGATCGATCACCTTTTCAAGCATCCTTGCCTCTAAATCAAAATTTGCAGTCTTGCCAACTCAAAGCTGGTTTCCTACAAGCTGCGAATTGCTTAGGTATGAGTAGCAGTGCCAGCTATTCTTACGTTTCGTACTTTCAAATTTTCGATCTTACGTCTGGTCAGCTTCAGGGCTTCACCATCATATAGTCATGGAGGAAAAGTGGGAATGTCTTCTGCTCTGACAAGTGCGCCAAAACTGCAATATAATTTCAGAATCATGACATCACCGCCTGATCCATATGCAACGGGCAGGGTGCAGCTAATGGCTAGCCGTCAGTGGTCATGTCATCGGTGGTCACTCAAAAGGCCATGCTAGGTCATGGAAGGTCACCAGCCGTTATTTGATCACGTTTTCTGATGGATTTTACTTGCCAAGAGCTTCGCGGGAAAAACGAGCGCATGCACCGTTGAAAAAAATTGAGTGAAAGGGTCTCAGGTCCGGCGAACTCTGCAGATGAAATGCCCCAGGGTAGGATTCCGGTGCTTGTTGATTAACTTCGTCAAAAATGGCAGTAGAGCTGTGATGTCGGCACCATTGTGTTCGTCATGATCGAGCTGGCACGACCTGCATCGTTCTCATATTCACCCTCCAATCGTAACAACTACAGCAGGGATTGGCAAATGCCGGGGCACCCCCTTTGGGAGGTAATGAAGGTCTCTGGAAACCTCATCCCACATCTCTTTAGCATTAGTGGCTCTCCTTATGGAACAGGTTTCTTGACTGGTCTGTTTCACCCCAGAATTCAAAGACTAGTCAAGGTAAACCGAGCGCACCACAGTGAGCACAATTTGATAAGCTGGTGTATCTCAATTTTCATGTAGAACCTTTCACGTATCACGGACCTAAAACCCTTTCGTGGACTCATGCAAAAGCAACTGCCATGTTTCAACAGCTGATAATGGCATTTTCACAGCCGCTGACGTAAGAAGGGGAGGGATGGGGGGCTCGATTAGACCCCCAGCCGTTCGGCCGCCGACAGAACTTAGTTTTGCAGAAAAAAAAACGAGTGCTATCGAACCCCTTGACGAGAGGGAGCCGATGCTATATCCAATTATAAGGTCTTGGGCTACTGCGTGCTTTTACCTAAGCAATTACCTACCTTTTACCTTGGTCCTGCCTGTGATCTATCCGAACACTTTTCCCCACAAGTGCTGGGGTTAAATGGCATAGATTTCAAATGGTTCCTGTGGTAGAACTGCCATGCTTGAATTTGACTAATTAGGAATGGAAAATTTTCATATAGTAACGGAAATCTATGGAATTTCAGTGAACTTGGTTTTATCGGCAATGGGGTCTGGCAGTGGGGTGGGGAGGTAATAAGTAATAACCCTGCCTGGCGCCTCAAAAAGGGGGCACGATCCCCGAGGCCCTGCCGATCACCTTATAACTATACAGGCATCACAGCTCCACACCTTTTGCAGATGGCCAGGACCCCCTGCGATGCATCCCAACAGCAATCTTTATTCAGAACCTGCCTTGATTAACCAACGATGCATTAAATGCGACGGATAGCTCTATAATGCATTATTATCAACTATTGAACGGGCCTCGCCGATAGGGGGGTACTGTACCCCCCTAACTTTCGATAGCGGGGGACCTGTCCCCCCCGTCCCCCCCGGTGGCGCCGCCCATGGGATGGTGTCAGTCGGACCTCGTCGATGGCCAGATGAAAACCCTCGGTCTTTTTAATGTTTTGACGAGATCCAATCAAAATGAATTTGGTTTTCTGGGGGTTCATTTTTAGCGAGTTAAAACGATACCAGTTTTGCAAAGTGGATATTGTCTTTTCGATGCGCATTTTAAGAGCTACTAGACTTTGAGGTTCGGGCTTCGCCCGGTCCAGCAAATGGGTGTCATCGGCGTAAATAATTGGGTCTACGTCCAAATAGCACGGGAGATCATTACAGAAAAGACTGAACAGGATCGGCCCGACAATCGACCCCTGTGGGACGCCATGGGTGACAACAGTGGGAGAGTCACTACCGCCGCGAACCACGTGACTGCGGCCTCCCAGGTAGCTAGCGAACCACGAGGGGTCGATTCCATACCACCCCAGTTTGCACAGGAGGACACGATGCCTAATTGTCTAATGCAGGGGTGTAATTTTATACCTCCTTGTGGGGGCAGATATGGCAAATGCACCCACAATCCTAAATTATGCCCCCACAATGATGAAAATGCACCCACAAGTCTTTTACAAGCGTCCTTTCGAGAGCACGGCGCTCTTCGCATGCTCTACCGGCGTCCTGACCGTCTCGCGTTCCTGAGGGCTGTTCACGGACCCTGTGTGCGGTCGGACCGCACACAGCCTCGAAGCTCCGCCCACTTCGTCCCTACGTCAGCCTTCCGTCACCGCACACAGCGATCGCTGTGGCCGGTCGGGGCTGGCCACAGCGGACCGTCCACCGCACGCAGCCGTGACGTCAGAACCGCCTACCCATCCCCTACCCCCACGCCTGCTGGACGCACCGCACACACCGCACGCAGCAGTGTGCGGTGCCCGTGAACACCCCTCTGGATAATATGAGCGTTATTAAAGTGATTAAAGTGATTAAAGTGATTAAAGGGCACCCAGAAGAGCGCCGAGCCGGCGCCCTTCTGGGAAAATTGCGCCCTTTTCACAGCACTGCGCCATTCTCATGGTTTAACGGCGCCCTCTTCACCGTTTCGCGCCCTTATGTCTCTGTCGTCCACCGTGCATCCCTCGTCTGTTTGGAGCCCTTCTGGCCTCTTAGCGCCCCTGGACCACAAAGCAACCAACAGGGGTGCCGATGCAAAGGCAATACCGCGCATCTACATCTACATCCACATCTAGCACAACTTTGGGATATAGCAACCTTTACATTTGCCAGCACAATCATTAATTTGCTGGCCGTGATCTTTTAGAGCAATTGTCACTGCTGCGCCGTTGTTGAAAAAAGTTATTTTATTTAGCGCGATTTACATCGGCTATCCAGTATTCAAGTTTCTTGGAAAGTAGGTATACCAAAATTGAATTGATGATGCATTTTGTAACAGCTTTTGTCCATGCCTGTTATAAAAATATATTTTTTGACAAATCGTTCTTTTCTCTACGTTTGGGCATGGTAATCACCAAGTAATCACCGCAGTTTGGTGCAAGTTGAACTATTATTGATAGGTGGCGAAACATTTCACTCTTGCATTTGAGTGTCATGTGAACCAGCCTGTATATGCTTTATAATCCACTATGCAGTCATATGGAATGATTGGTTGTATCGGATTATATCACTTGTATTTTATGTTGGACGCAAGAGCCAAGCTGCTACGCGCCCTAACCCAGAACAACAACAACAACAACACTTGTATTTTATGTGACTAGGTACTAAACGCCTGGATTTTCATTGAGGGAAGGTAACTCATACATATAACTTCCTATGAGATAACTTTAAGTTCTTACAGCCCATGGGATTGGGTCTTCTGGAAAGCCTTGATTTGTACGCATCACTCAGTTCAGCTCAGTAACAGGATTTCAACTGCCAGGCACCTTGAGATTTAGATTGGCATCATTAATCAGTTCAATTTGAATTTTGTGTCACATTGACCTTTATCAGACCTTGTCACCCACCATAATTCAGGGGACAAACATCATTTCATTGTAATAGCATTTTTCTGATCACAAAAGCCTTGAAATGCATGGAATGCGTTAAAGGGACCCTCCCCTTCAAAAAAGTTAATGAATTGGCATGAAAGTGATGTCGCTCGGCTCAGAAAGACCAAAAATGAATATCTACCAAATTTCACTGAAAAATATTCACCGGTTTTCAAGATATTAGACTTTAATTTTGTTTACTTTTTTGGGATCTCCGCTGTTCCTAGCGACTTTATTTTGGAAGTGTGGTGTTTGCGGCAGATGTTGCGCGCAAATAGCATAGGACCTATACCACCACTGCTTCACAAAGATGTTAGTATAAGGTTTTAAAATCATTAGATCAGTCCCACGCACAAGGGGGAAAAGCTCAAATTATTGAGCGCTCAAAATATTGAGCGTGTGACGTCAGAGGCTCCCATAGGCGTAATGCTGAGGGCTCAAAAAATTGAGCCGTTTCAGGAACACGTTTTGCAAAAGCAACTCGCAACACCTAGGGAGAAATGGCAACACCCTAGGAGAATCACTAATGATGGAAAACAGATTAGGCTTTCATATTTTTCACTGCTCAAGCTTCAATGATTGGGGGAACACCAATTTATAGGTCGAAATCTTACGGCATACCAGGATGACCTAAAAACAGGCCAATATTTATGTCGAAATAAAAGTTATTTTTTGTCGCTTCACGTTTTTTACTAGGGTTCTGTTGGAAAGAGCATTTTTTATACTACCCAAAATGATTGCGACTCAATTTCACATTACCCATATCGGAGAATATTTTTCATTTGGCGGCGCCGTTTGTTTATTTCGTCGCGACGTCTCCGGCCGCGTGGTTGTCGTCGTCCTTGTGTTGAAGGTAAGTTTTTATCGTTTTAGTTATACTTAGATGTTAAAAGGTACACTGAAAAGTTTGAATATGCTGTGATTTTAAATTTGGAAACACGTAAACGTCAATCAATTCACGTTTTCCTCGATTTGCGTGCAGATAAGTAACTGTCGACGAAAGTGGCGCCATCCGATATGATGTTTTGAAGGAAGGAGACACAACATATTTACGTGAAAATTTTTGTTTTTTAGTGGTCTAAGTGCTTCAAAGAGGCTGTGAATGTTTTCTTCACACAATTTTTCATTAGGTATGATGAGGTAAAAGGTAGTTTCAGTCTTAACTTTCATATAATTGACATTAAAACATATGATAGTCCACTGCTATCAGTGATTGAGTACCTTGATATTTGGCATTTCTTATTAATTTGAATGTATTCTCTATCCATATGTCCTGATAGTAAGTGACAATACTCTGCCAATATGTTTCCATAGTTTTCACATTCATTTTCCAGTCCTTTACATAACATCACAATTTATAATCAACAAAACTCAACTCCTTCATTACTTCACAACACTGACAGCATGACAGACTGACAGTCAACTATTGTGTGTGTGAATGCTGAAACAGGATAGCCACTTTGCTGACTGGCTCGCCCATATGAAATAAGATAAAAAATGATCCTTTTTATCATTTCCATCTGGAGGATCGGAGTCAACGGAAAAGGAAGGCCACTTTCAAGCCTCAAGGTCTAGGCCGCCAGACACCAGTCAGCAGTCACCACCAAATTTATAATAGATTAATTCATTATTATACTTTGAGACCCTTAGGTCACTGGATCGGCATCACATTTTCAGTTTCAATATAGTAAAGGTTTTTATTTGTATGATGTGAAATATTTTCCTGAATCAGAATTTAATTATCCTTAGGTACCTGGTAGAGGTTTTGGATTTAATGCTCATTGTTGGTGTGCAGTCAGGATTTTTTGACAGGTCAAGATAGGAAATCCTGAGCAATTTTATAGTAAAGTGGTCTCCTTATAATCACCACACATTTTATCATAAGCATTTGCAGAATTCATTCAATGAAGAATTTTATCAATGTTGCACCCATTTCTTAGACGACCTAGGCTGCATCTTTTTTTAGTTCCTGTTGTATGACATATTTTCCGTTTTGTTCCACTGCATAAAGAAAAAAATCGTTTGAGATCACCAAACAGCTTTTCCTTTTCTGGCAGGTCTGCACAACCAAGCGGTCGCTGGCGAGGACGTCGGCCGTCCCTGTGGGTAAGGTCATCTGCTCAGCCTTTGTGGAGGTCAGCAAGACGTCACCAAGATGAAGACTTCGCTGGAGCAGAAGCCGCTGACCCGTGTCCGATCGGGCAGGTATGCTCGACGGCACGAGCCACAACTTGAACGACTCGGTGACATCAACAACATGGTGGAGCAGGTGAATGAGTTTGGCGACGTGTTGTGCGACTGCAAGAAGGGTTGTCTGCGTGTTCTGGCCGGCGGAGCGGCGACGCTGCGCAGTCTGTGCTGGCGGTGAGCAGCTGGCCGTGGTGACCGCGCGCGCCCACATGCGCCGACAACCTGTGCGGCTTCGACGGCCCGGGACAGCCCGATGCCGCCCACTATGCGACGCCGACCGCGCACTGTCCGCACGGCCACATGAAGGTGTGCCCGCGCCTTTTGCCCGCACGCCGCTACCTCGCAGCTGGTCTGCAACCACGCCGTCGCCGCCTGTAGCCCGATAACAAAACGGCTGTCTGATAATGCCGCGTGTTCTTTGTGATGTTGCTACTGTGATGGTTGCTACTGCTGGTCTGAGACTCGATGTTTCCATTCGTCCTTTACATGTTAAGGATTTGATAATGATAAGCTTAGTCCGAGCTTAGGTCATTTATATCATTTGTTATATGGCATATTTTGGATCAAAGCAGTACGACACTGCCTCCTGCTTTTGTGATGTATGCTGGCAAGACGCAGGTTCCGGTCGCAGGTCACCCGGACCCGGTTCCAATGTGGTCGGGCTGGCATGCGATGTGATGTTGTTTTGCTCGTCTCTGTGTTCCACACTTGCTGATGTTTGTGAATCTAACCCACATTGTATAGTATTTTTGTTTGGTTGCGGCCGATGGCCTTGTAAGTTGTAACCGTGGCAATACAGTTTTTCCTGCTATAATTCTCCAATATTCAAGCGTGGGTGGATATCTTTCTGTATTCACGTATTCCCTTCTCCCAGTACAGTAAGATAATATCAATTACAGTATTCATACGGATTGTTCAAGCCTTGTATAATTAATTGAGGTGTGCCGAATCCGAAAGACCGATAAAACTACTAGCGGAAAATGTGACATGATGCCATGGGTGTGTGAAAAGTTTAGGTACCACGTAGCATTCAACTTCCTGCATTTCTGTTTCAACTCAGTTTAACGTATTTCAACGAACATAACATCAAAAATGGCAGCCAGTACCGGCTTCACCTGTCACGGAGAACGCTCAAAAAATTGAGTGTAGATGCTGGCCGGCACTCAATTTTTTGAGCGCCAGCTGACTGTCGTCTGTCGTGGCGCTCAATTTATTGAGTATCGCGGTCCCGAACGACAAGTGGCGCTCAAAAAGTTGAGCGTCTTTAGGGCATTTTCTTTCCAAAAACACCGATATAAATTATCACGGCGAGTGTTCGAGAAGAAACCTTGTTGCTTTCTCTTGCCATTGATACCTTATTTGGATACGATATTTGCCGTAGTGTGACGCTAAAGGCATTGTAAAATACCATCGTTTCGCCTATTCCTTCATAATGGGGCCCGCTCAATTTTTTGAGCGCTCAATTTTTTGAGCTTTTCCCCCTTGTGCGTGGGACTGAGATCACCGCTGACCTCACAAATTCTAAGGGGGCATCCCAATGCATTAGCCCCTTAGAATCCGAAAACTGCAAGTTTGAAATTCCATATCTCAGAATTAAAGCATTTTTAGATGTTGTGAGTGCTCAAACCGGTATTTGCAGGCCATGGCCACCAATTTGGCTATCTCAACTCAAAACTAATGTTAAGATGGTCACTAAAACATATGTACAGTCTGTCTTAAAAGTACCGCACAAAGTGACGCTGGATCCATCAAGCCTTACCGAGGAAGGGCCTTCTTTAATTTGAAAGTCACCAAACCAATTGATCTTGGGAATGGACGAGAATTCAATTGCTTCGGTGACTCAAATTTAGCAGGCCCTTCCTCGGTCAGGCTTGCTGGATCCACCGTCACATTGCGCGGTACTTTTAAGACAGACTGTACAACGAATCACCGTTTTTGCTTCGACATGGTCTCGAGAAACTGGTCAAAGGTCATTTGGGTCTGGGTCGTGATTTTTTTTAGGGTACTTATAAGATCGATTGACTCGAGGGTACTACTTCCATTTCACCGGCGCACTTTACGATGTTCGGAGTGTTGTTTTGAGCGACTGCTGTCGTCTGCCAGGCAGCCATGTCTTCCCTGGAGAAGCTGGTGCGTGCGCTGGAGCTGCTGCGCACCTCCGATTCGGCGGCGGGAGGCGCCACCACCCCCAGCTCGCCGGTGGAGGCCTCCCTGCGCTCCAGTCTGGCCGACCTGAAGCCGACCTCTCTGCTCTTCAGGTGAGCCGCAGCCGCTGTTGGGGAGTGGGCGCTGTGGACAAAATCCAGTGATTGAACTGCAACTGAGAACGTGATGAAGTTGAATGCTGTGATAATCTTGTTGTATTTTGGAATGGATAACGACAAATAGGTAGCAGAAATTAAAGTGACGAAAGCTGATGATCAATAAAATAAGTTTATTTATAATGTTTTGCTAAGTGGCGAACAAGCCTCAGGTGGCTACCCTTTACTACCATAGCCCAACTCCATTTCTGTATGTATACGCTCGTCTGCTACGGCCCGCCTCCGTCGACAGGCAGCGGGAGGCGGCGCTGAGCAGTCGCGAGAAGAAGCAGTGCTGCTGCCACCTGGCGGAGGGCGTGGTGAGCGCCGCCCAGCGGCCCAGCCCTGACCAGCTGCAGCGCCACCTGCCGGCAGTCGTCGAGACGCTGCTCCAGCTGGCCGACGACGCGGACGCCGACGTGCGCACGGCTGCCGACGAGAGCCTCAACAGGATCGTCAGGGTGGGTGGTGACGGGCGCGGTGTCCGCAGTTACAAAGCACGACCTCTGGATGGATGGTTTACGCTGGCGTTTTGCACCGTATCATAAAACTTTTTTTTTTTGAAAATTGCCTCCAGAATGCTGAGGCTCGCGGCTCATCCTTTCGTCCTGATCTTAGTCTTTATAATAATGTATCGATCTCTACCAAACCGAGCCCGGTTCTTACATCATCACGTCTTGTTTCGTGTGTTTTGCAGGGCCTCTCGGAGAACAACATCGGTCGGCTGCTGGTGGAGCTGTACAAGGGCATCAAACAGGGCCACAGTCCGCGCTCGGTGGCCGCCGCGCTCACGCGGTTCGCAGAGCTCTCCAACCGAATACGGTACGGATCAACGTTCGGCTGAGGGTCGCACTCGTGTGCAAATTAATATTTGAAATCTTGCATTTACCAACAGTCATGATGTCAACTGCAATAGTTCGCGTTGTTCAATGTACAAAGATCCGGATTAGGCGACTGCTAGAGGGGTGCTCCGTATCCATTTCTTTCGTTTATTGATGTCTTAATATCATGACTTATGACTTATGACCGGGTAGTTCCTAGTGCGACTCGTACCTTGCAACATATAGCCCGTATTATCCCGTGATCTACCCCATAACTAACCGCTGCCCCTGCGTGTTCCCCTGTGATCGAGCAGACCGCAGAAGCGGCGTGCGTACGTGGTCAACCTGTTCCCGTGTATCCTGCGCCTGACGCAGCGGGCCGAGCTGGCCGTGCAGGAGAGTCTGTCGGCAGCCCTCGTCAAAATGGCGCCCGTGCTCGGCGTGTTCTTCACTGACGGCGAGACCAAGGTGAGCGGTGGCGGCGAGACCGGGACTGGTAAGGAGGGCGGGAACTTTGGTCCAGTGGTCGGGGCGAGTGACTTTCAGGATGGTGGTCGGACTTTTAAAATTTCTGTGGACTTCCTAAGTGCCTGTCGCTTCCAGTGACGGCATTAAGTAACAGCGTATATCTTTGAACAACTTAACCACATGTGTTGAGGCGTCGCACGCTCTGCAGATGACGTACACAGCCTTGCCGTTCACCGTTCACTCTAATGTTGGACTGCTCTCGAAAGTGTTACGTGTATTACGTTCTACTAGCCGGGTGAATCGGCCCGCTCATTGTTTCCGTGTTCTGCCGCCAGGCGGTGCTGCAGGCGTTCCTGCCTAACCTGGAGCACAGCCAGGCCCCGCTGCGGCGGGCCGCCAGCGCCGCCATGGTGGCACTAGTGTCTCAGTGCCGAAAACCGGAGACGTTCCTACCCTGGCTGCTCTCGACGCTACTAGGTGAGAGACAAGCGTGGGACATTAGGAGTGTGAGTCGTGAGCTGTTGTTTTGTGGAAAGTATCAGTTAGTGAAGTGGACGTTGCAGCAGACCGAACAGAGTTAGAAGGGCTATGCTGGCTTTTAGCGACAGCTGGCGATCATGTGACGGACTTTGACATCATGCGACGTTGCGTGACGGACTGTGACGTAACGTAACGTTGCATTGCCGCTGGTGAGCTATGTCGGCATCCTCATTACCCGGCACACTGGCTAGTGCCGCTGAGTGACGGTGTTTTAGTTATGTCTGTCTCCCCCGACATGCTGTGTGAACTGTGACGGCCTGTCTCTCCCCATTGACACTGACTGGCTGGTGCCGCTGTTGTGTGAGCTATGCCATATAATCGTCCCCTCCCCATGATTGTCACGAGTTGCTGGTGCCGCTGTGTAAGCTGTGACGGCCTGTCTCTCCCTATCTCCAGACTGGCTGGTGCCGCTGCGTCCCCCGGAGTCGGAGTCGGCCGGCCGGGTGCTCGGAGTACTCCTCTGTCTCCGCGACATCACACCGCTGCTCGAGGAGCTCTGTGACGGCGTCAGTCTGGAGCGGCTGCTGCAGGTCGGTACAGACGCAGACCTGAGAACCGTGTAGGGGAAACCGAACGAGGGAATTGTTGTTTCCGGCCAGCTGCTGGGACGGCTGCTTTTAATACATTTCTGCGGGCTAAGATATTTTGATGCGGTCGTTTCTATCAGCTGTGCTAATTTGCTTGATATACGTTGGATGATGTTATTAAGCTGCTTCCCGTTCACAAGATAGAGGGATTTAACACATCGCAGCCAAAACAGGCTCACCCGATATTCCACCTCACGCCACCGAACTACTGTATCGTGTCACCTCACCATCATCTCCCCCCCCCCCCTCCCCCGCAGCTATACGAGCTGCTGCTGCACCTGACACAGCACGCCAACCACAACGTGGTGACGTCAGCTCTGGACGCGCTGTGTCAGCTGCTGCGCGCGCCGCCCGCCGAGCTGCTGGCGGCGCTGATCACGGAGGGAGCTCTCGAGCGGAGCAGGCTCCAGCCGGACGCGGCGCCGGCCGTCGGAAAGGCCAACAGTCAGTGAAGTGTGGGGAGAGTGGGATGGGGTGCTGTTTGAGGGCGTGTTTAACCCTCGCATGTGTAGGGGGGTCGGATGGACCCCCCCATGGTTTTTCGCGAATAACTCGCGTAAAAAGCGGCTGATCGCGACGAAACTTTCAGTACCCTCTCATTGATCAATTTTACACCTACCCTGAAAATTTCATGACCCTGACCCCAATGACCTTTGACCTGTGACCTCTTTTCCGAGACCATGTTTGGCCGGAATCGCGATTCCGCGTATGTCGGTTCGCATTAGCCGCGCGTTTGCAAGCTTTTCGTGGTTTCAAACGTTCAAACATGTGATTTGATGTTGCTCCCATGCATAAGAATGGGTGTCAAGGTCACCTGAAGGTCAGGTCAGGTCATTGACCTTTGGTGACCTCGGGTGACCTCAGTTCACTTTTTCGAGTTTTACATGTTTCTAGGCTAGTTTTTGGAGCTGAATTCGAATTTAGCAACCATTTGAACATTTACGAAGTAGTTTTGGTGCCTTCGTAACATGTTACGAAGCTGTCAGAGGCGGTTGACACGTACTACGAATACCCGTCACAACCCCTACTGGTTGACCTGACCTGACCTGACCCAACCTGGCCAAAATGCTTAAAGACATCATCTGTGATCAAAACTAACACGATATTCGTGATCAGCACCCCGAAAAACCCCTTAGCAGCCACACTTTACGACTTTCTAATAGGTCCCGATTTTCCCGACTTTGGGTCATTGACCTGACCTGGAAGGTCAACCAATGACCTAGGACCCTAAAATTGGGTATCATCGGCTTCCTCTCGTCACGGGCAACACGCTCGTTTTTTCCGCAAAGCTCTAGCTCGATCAGGGGCCAAACGGCAAGGGGGGGGGGTCCAACCGACCCCCCCCCCCTACACATTAGAAGCTGACAAACGCCGCACACATGCGAGGGTTAAGGAACGCTTTGATGCTTTCATCCTACCTGCACTTATTTCTGCTGGCAACTGCCTGTATCGGAGATTTTTCCTGTAAACTTTCTGTAGATAGGGCTGGTACGGAAAATTCAGGATTTTTTTTTTCATAGATCATCCCATGTAAAAGTCCGGATTTTTTTTTCATAGACCCATCCCATGACGAATGACGATCTTATAAAGGCTTTCATCGTGAGTCCAGCCTGGCTTTGGAGATTTCGACCAAAGTCATTGTTGCCGACGGCTGCATCAGTTTATCCTCCGGCCGGGCCGCGCAGCGTGCGGACCGGCCGCTGAGGCCACATGGCGCCGGGAGGCATGTTTAACCTGGCCCGGGCGGTGACCCGCGCGATCGGGCGGCCCGGCGATTGGCTGCTGGTGGGCTGCGCCGCGGGCACTAGCGAGGCTATGCCGGGCCGCCACCGGACTGGCGGGCCAGTTGGGTCCGAGACGGGATGGAGTGGAGCAGGTGTGTGTCTGTCTGGGATTGTGGTCGCAAGATTTGTGCTGCAAAGTGATGGGACACAATACATCAAGTGCACTCGAGAAACAGTGTTGGTGAGGACAGTGAACAGCAGCGAGTCTTCTCAGCGTGCGAGTAGCCGATCATTTCCTTTCATCCGGGACTCATAACACGGCCTCTTCCGGGGTGTGTGAGGGAGGCGGCCACAGTGTCTCGCCATCGAGTCACTGAGCTTAAACTCGTTCCCCGGGTCTTGCCATCGAGGCTCGGGTGCGGGGTCTCCGCTCAGACAGGGGTGCGACCAGTCGGCTCCGGCTAACCTTGCCATCGAGGCGCCGGAGTATCGGTTGATCTGTCCGATTACAGTGGTCTCGCCATCGAGAGGCTGGAATCGGGCAGCGGCTGGCGTCTTCCTCGCCATCCTGATCTACCCATCGCTCTCCTACAGTCCTTGTCTATCATCCGGCTAAATAAGTGTCGTTGGCGTGTGAAATACCAGAGGACACGTGGCGACATTTCTGGTCCTCCGCGGGCCGGATTGCGATCAGTGAGCTGAACAGGAGAAGATGGGGATAGAAAAAGAAGAGGCAAAGGATGTCAAACGGCCCGATCCGACTGCAGATGGAGCTTTTAATGATATCAGAGAGCAGGAGCTTGCTGATCTGCGCCGGCAGCGTGGTTGCAAGAGGGCTGCTGCGACCAGGGTCAGCAAAGCGGTTGAGGTCGAGTTATCAAGAAAAGCGACCCGCGATCGTATCGAGCACATCAGCACGAGGCTGGAAGAAGCCTTCACCGACCTGAGAAAGGTGCATCAGACTTATGAAAGCAAACTTGGAGACGACGAACTCCAAGAAGCTCAAGAATATGCCGATCGCCTCGAAGACGAGGAATTGTTGATCCAGGGGAAGATCCAGCTGTACCTTCAAGAGTTGGATGAAGCCAAGTCATCAGCTGCCACCTCCCGTCACACTCGAAGTCGTGCCAAGTCACACACCTCAGCAGGCACCGCTGTTTCAGTTCGATCCAGAGAGGCTGCTGTGGAACTGGAGGACGCTGATCGCAAGCTGCGGGACCTCCAAGCTCAAGTGGAAGAGAGTCGTCGGAACATGAAAGAAAGACAGGAATTAGATGAACGCGATAGGGTGCTACAGCTCAGAATAGCTGAAGAGGCCCGCGACAGAGCTGCTCGGAAGGTGCACATGTATCAGGCTGCGGAAGACGAACTGAACTGGGATCGTCGGCATGATTTTGATGAAGCGGCTGCCAAAGAGAGAAAAGTATATGCCAAAGATGAGGATGTGCAACGATCAGCTGAACTACCTGGTGGTATGGACGTTCCCGGCAGAGGAGGTCCACACACGGAGGCAGCGGCAAATGAGTCCAGATTAACGGGTGACGGTGCCATGATATCACCGGAAGTGTTTGGCTCAGTACTAAATCCAAACACCTGGCCAGTACAAGGTCAGCGACATGAGAAACAGGTGCCACAGTCACCGGAGATGTCAGCTTTCGCCAACAGCATTCCGCGTCTCAGCCTGCCACGGTTCTGCGGAGATCCAAGTGAGTGGCCCAGCTGGATCAGCCTCTTCAAGGTGCTGATACATGGCCAGGCGTCCCTGTCGGATACGGAAAGAATGGCACATCTGCAACAGACTGTGGATGGGGCTGCCCGGGAAGCTATCGAAGGCCTCCGATTCGATGGAAGGATGTACCACCAAGCGCTGGCAAGACTGCACGAGCGATTCGGCCAGGAAGGTGTCATCAGCCAAGCGTGTCTCAGCTCAATGTTCTCGGTTCCAGCACCATCAGTCAGTGACCTGGCATCCATGGAGAGGTTTAATTCTACCATCAGTAACACTGTCTTGACATTGCAAGCTCTTAGATACTACGATGACCTGGGAGCGAGCGAGAACCTGCGCCGAGTCGTCTCAAAACTGCCGTGGGAGCTGATGCATCAGTGGGGACGTGAGGTCCACAAGCTGTATCCAGGTCGACCCACCCTGGATATCTTCAGCAAGTGGCTGGACACGGAAGTTGCCATTCTCAGGCACTCAACCTTCCACAATCGTGATGAAGAAGACGGGAAGTGTTCTGTATCTCCACGAGAAGCTTACGCCCAGAGAACACAGAACACATCGGCTGTGTCTTCTCACGGAGAAAGCCGAAGATGCTGGTGGTGTGTTCTGTGTGAAGAACAACACAAGCTCCAAGACTGCTCTGAGTTTCAGTCGAAGACTGTGGAGGAGAGGCTGACTGTAGTGACCAAGGAGCGACTGTGTTGGGGCTGCCTGAACAAGGGACACTTGATGAGAGTTTGTCGATCTGCAAGGCGCTGCAACTGGAATGGATGCACCGCAATCCATCATCGACTAATTCATGTGGACAGAGATGCTACTGAGAATGACGAGGAGCAAACAGAACCAAAGACCTCGGCACGAGAAGGAAGCCGCATCGTCGGTGCTACTCTAACGGAGACGACTGATACGCTGCTGCAGTTGGTGCCGGTGCGGATACACGGTCCGACCGGAGACAAAGACGTAGTAGCGCTGCTGGACCCTGGATCGCAGACTTCTTTCTGCAGCGAAGCGGTTCTGAAGAACATTGGCGTCAGAGGTACACGAGAAAACTTGCAGCTCCAGAACGTGGAAGGGAGTGGCCTTACACAATTATCCCTTCGGGTTCAGTTGGCGGTCAGTCCTGTGAGCGCAGCTGTTAGCAAAGAACGCATTGTGGTGCCTGAAGTATGGTCAGTACCAAAACTGAATGTGACCCCACCCAGTGTGAACAGCAAGCAGCTCAGGAGTTGGAAGCACCTGCAGGATCTAGACCTGCGACAGTACAACGGCTCACCGGTTGAGCTGCTTCTTGGAGCTAACGTCCTGGGAGCCGTACTGCAACGAGAAGTCAGAGTGGGAGGTCCTGGAATGCCGGTCGCAGTCCGAACGGATTTAGGCTGGACTCTTACTGGCTCAATATCCACCATGATACCGTGCGCAAAGCGGCAGGTCACATTTGTGCGTTGTCAGTCAAAAGATGTTGAAGAAACTGTTGTCGATGAAGGATGGACAGCGAGAAGCCACTGTAAGGTCAACGAACCGGAGGCGGTCTACGAAAATGATGTCGGAGAACTGGAGATCTTGGACCATGCCGGGACGGTGGGGGAGAAGAGGAGAGCAGGACTCTTTATAGAAAAAGAGGAACCGGCAACTCCTGGGTATCAGAACCAGTCCCAGAGAAACAGGAAAAAGATAGGAAAGAAGATATTCGGAAGAGCGAGGCGACAGCTGCCGCCACGACATCGTCTCCGGCGGCGCGGGAAGCAGCGATCTGCTTGGTTGCTTCGCCGCAGGCGGCTACCTCGTCGTAAGCAGCGACGCCCTAGGCGGCTATCTCAAAATGGAGGGCGAAGATCTCGGCGGCTGCCACGGCGCCGGGGGCGGCGATCTCGCCGGCAGTCTCAGCGCCGGTGGCGGCCACCTCTGCAGCCACCACAGCGGTGGCGGGGGCTGCCTCGACGCTGGTGGCAGTATCGTGGGCGGCTATGTCAGCGATGGAGGCGGCGACCTCTACGACTACCCCATCAGTGGTGGCTGCACCACATCAGATGCCATGGCCTGCGCTGTGGCAGTCTTGGCAAGAGCAGTGCGCTGGACGGTGGCGAGCTGGAGACGTCTTCAGCCCGTCCCATACGATACGGAGGCCCTCTCACGTAGGACTGGTGAATCTGCTCGTGGTAAGGTTCCGGTGCTAGTCTGCTGTCCCCTCCAACTGCAATGGGCGTGTCTCGCCTGTTTGTGCGTGAGGATCATTGTGTGGGAGTTGCGATAACATGTATGTGCCGTGTATCAATGTATGTTTGTAAGGAGTAGGTGGTCGGCAGGCGGGACTCAAGAATGCGTGGTTTGATGTTGTTTTGTGCGTTGTTTGCCTCGGAGCAGATGTTTGATGCAGCGTCGGTTGCGTTGTTGTAAGTGTTGCCCTGCTGTGCAACACGGTGGGGGAGGATGTTGCCGACGGCTGCATCAGTTTATCCTCCGGCCGGGCCGCGCAGCGTGCGGACCGGCCGCTGAGGCCACATGGCGCCGGGAGGCATGTTTAACCTGGCCCGGGCGGTGACCCGCGCGATCGGGCGGCCCGGCGATTGGCTGCTGGTGGGCTGCGCCGCGGGCACTAGCGAGGCTATGCCGGGCCGCCACCGGACTGGCGGGCCAGTTGGGTCCGAGACGGGATGGAGTGGAGCAGGTGTGTGTCTGTCTGGGATTGTGGTCGCAAGATTTGTGCTGCAAAGTGATGGGACACAATACATCAAGTGCACTCGAGAAACAGTGTTGGTGAGGACAGTGAACAGCAGCGAGTCTTCTCAGCGTGCGAGTAGCCGATCATTTCCTTTCATCCGGGACTCATAACACGGCCTCTTCCGGGGTGTGTGAGGGAGGCGGCCACAGTGTCTCGCCATCGAGTCACTGAGCTTAAACTCGTTCCCCGGGTCTTGCCATCGAGGCTCGGGTGCGGGGTCTCCGCTCAGACAGGGGTGCGACCAGTCGGCTCCGGCTAACCTTGCCATCGAGGCGCCGGAGTATCGGTTGATCTGTCCGATTACAGTGGTCTCGCCATCGAGAGGCTGGAATCGGGCAGCGGCTGGCGTCTTCCTCGCCATCCTGATCTACCCATCGCTCTCCTACAGTCCTTGTCTATCATCCGGCTAAATAAGTGTCGTTGGCGTGTGAAATACCAGAGGACACGTGGCGACAGTCATCTTAACTGAAAAGGCCTTCCACTTCTCAAATCACCAATTATTTCCCATGACGCAATTATTTCCCTTGACAATCCACTTCTCTCCTTCCCCTTTATCTCTTAGCTCGCGACATTCTCCACCTTTTCCGTGTGCGAGCGAAGCCTATGTGTGGGGTGATTGGGGGCGTGCTGTGTGTGGGGCTGGGCTCGGTGCGCGGACTCTCCGCCTCCCGGTAATTCGGTGCCCTATCTTGCTGTGACGCTGAGGGCGGCCGGCCACCCGTCTCAGGTGTGCTCAGCGTGGCGCCGTCTCTGGCCGGAGAGGAGGCGGACCTGGCAGATACCGACTCGCTGCTCTGGCCGGCGGAGGACCCCGGTCAGGACGAGCGGGGCGCGGAGACGCCGCCCCCGCCCCCGCCTCCGCCGGCGGCGGCTCCGGCTGAGATAGAGGGTGAGTATGTGAGGTGTGCTGCGGTGGTGACTATCGGATTGGACGTGAAATTGGACTGGGTTGGTGGCCTGTGGACTTGGTCCGCCCCGGACGCTTCACTGTGGATCTGGAGATCGAGTGAGGTTAGCTGGATTTCTTTTGGCGCTGCTTGACTTTTCACTCAACGCCTCATGGTAAATGTGTGATTGTTTGTTCTATTGCTCTCTATCACCACCTGTTTCACCCCACGGCCCACGCCTAGCCCTCCCCTCACTCGGCTGCCCGCGCTGACAGAGCGCTCCGTGTGGACAGAGCCGCCGCTGCGCGTGGCCACGCCCCCTGCCGATGACGTCATCGATCCGCTGCGGTACGACATCACGTGTACTGACGAGACTGCCGACACTGCCTCCGGGGACACTCAGGTTTGTAACGACGGGGTGGTGGTGGTGGGGCCGTCTGTGACGGGGTAACTGCGTTGGGTTGGCAGGAGTGGGTGCCTCGGTCAGTCGTGTAGGCACTGATTATGTTTGAAAAGGGCATTGTCAAGTAGGTTTCGTCGTAGGCTTCAATCTCTTCTTGCGTTTATATCTCTTCACAGGCAGGCTTTAGTTAAATAAGTTTGATGGGATGCAATATTTTGCAAGGTTTGTCGTCGATGTAACTGCTGGATTCACGATTGGTTAGGTCACTCTGAATGACACTTGTGTGTGATCGTCCAGGGCTCGGTTGCCGGCGACATTGGATCGCTGACGGACGGAGGGATCCCTCTCATCTACTGCTGTCGGCTGCTCGTCTCACGGTACCTGCTCACCGGCGTACCCAAGGGCATCAGGTCAGTCAGTTAGGAACTTGGAGATGCAGGAGACATTAGGAATACAGTGTGGGCCTCTCGTCAGAGCCAAGTACCGACGTAAAGAGGATGCTCGTCCAGCTCGAATTTCCGGCATGTAGATGCACTTACTATCAATCCATCTGCATGATGATGCAGTTATGATGCATATCTGTCAACGTAGCTATTTTTTTAAATGTCAAAAAATGTACTCATGATAATGCCCAGAACTTCGACATTGAAATATCATATTTTGTGAATAATGACGTTGGTTCGCTGTACCGTTTCATTTATCTCTGCGTGTGTGCGCACTATGATAACAGTCTGGTATGCTATGTCGTGTGTCGACAGGGGTGACCGAGAGGTGCGTGTCAGCATCAAGGTGCTGTGTGTCACCTGTATCAGCGCGGCCGTGTCACTGGCGCCCGACATACTGTCACTGCCGCTGCTGATCGACAAAGATCCTGAGTCAGGTCAGCTTAACATGGGTGGCAGCAACATTCTTTGAACAAAACGCCGGGATGGGGTAATAAAACCATCATTTGTTACTCTTGGGTCAATGAATTTAAGGAAATGACATTGTTCACTTGATTTTCAAAGCAGTTGCCGCGGAATGATACTTCTTGTTCAAAACTTCAACTGAAAGGTTGATTTGGCATGCGGCAATGTATTTAGTTCGTCACTTGTTAACCTCCTTCGCTCAGCGTACTGTCAGTGTCTCATTTAGTAACGCTCTCTTTCTCCCCCCAGCCGAGTGTCAGTACCTGTGGGACGTGCTGCTGTTTGTGGATGACGCCGACCCGCAGCTGCGCGGCGCCGTGTCCCTGCTCATCGGCACTTACCTGCGCGCGACGGCGCTTCAGCCAGCCACCCAGGGGGATGGCACCGACCGACCGGCGCCGCTGAGAGCGCGGACGCTGCTCGACCACCTGCAGCAGGTCAGGGGGGACGCGGGCTGTGTGAAGTCATGGTGGAATGGCGGGTTAAACAATTCACGCCGGGTTAAACAGCACTTTTCATGTCTCTGTTCAGTGCTTTCTGCAGAAGAATCGTTAGGATGCCCGGCTACGCTTGGTGAACTCATCTAAACGTACTCTGGATGGTAACTTTCGTGATGCTTGATATATTTTAATTGATGCTGGCTCTAAGAGTATAGGCCCTCATCTTATCAAAATGTTTGGTCTTTGGCCGATTGCACAGTAGCGGCTCTGGACCGAATATGTGACGCGGCATCCCGTCTCCCCGTTCACAGGTCCTATTAGACAGCAGTCACGTGTCGAGTCGCCAGGCGCTGGAGGGGCTCGGCCAGTGTCTGGAGCCGCTGAACCCTACTGAAGGCTCTCTACTGTTCACAGGTGCTGCTGGACAGCAGTCACGTGTCGAGTCGCCAGGCGCTGGAGGGGCTCGGCCAGTGTCTGGAGCCGCTGCTGAAGGCGCCCGAGTGTGAGCTGCTTCTGCCGCTGCTGTCTGCGTTGCTCCGGCTGGCCGATCACTCCTACTGGCTAGTCAAGGTGAGGACTGCGTGTCTGGCAGTGCTCCGGCCGGTCCCAGAACTGGGTTTTGTGTGCGACAGCTGAATGAATGTAAATGCAGATGTGTGTGCAAATCGTGGTCACGTGATCTTTGAATCACTAACTTCTCTGTAATTGCTAGTTATTTTTCTCCATTTAACGAACTGTGACTCCATCCGTCGAGCCTTCCCTTGGTCTATTTTCCTGTCACCCCGACATCCCAATCGATTCCCCGATCCAGCAGATAGTGTCTTTCTCTAGCTGTCCTCCCCACGGCGCTCACATCTGCCTCAGTGTGCTCACAACCCCGTCCTCAGGCTGATCGTTTGCCGACTCTTGCTGACTTTTCTGACTCTGTTTCCTCCAGGTGGACCTGTGCTCGCTGGTGTCGGCGCTGCCGCTGCCGGAGCTGGAGCTGCTCTGGCGCTGGGGAGCTGCCGACGACAGCAGCTACCAGCAGCTGCTGTTGGACGACCTGCTGCTCCGGCTGCTGGAGGACGTCGACCAGCGCGTCCAGCAGGCGGCCGCCACCGCGATCGTCAGGTCAGTCGATGGAGGAAGCCGGACTGTTTCCACTCCATTACAGGCTGGGGCCCACAGCAATGATGGAAATAAGGCCCTTTGCTGGTCCCAGTCGGTTCCAAACGATTTTGTTCTCCTTTACAAATTTTTACTCTGGCACCTGAAATCTTTTAAATTTCCAGTCTGTGATGAGAAAATGCTATTATTACGCCTAAAACATGCAGTTATAGCATTGAGAGAACACATTTTATCAACTGCCACATTTAGTAGGCCAAACATATGATTTTCCTGTTAAGTGTTCTAAAATGTGGCCGGTTCTCCGGACAGATTTTATTCTCCGGGACCAGGATCAAAATTCACAATTCCAACATGATTGGCCCGCAGTCCTGTGTGACATTCCATGAGTGACTAGGGCTATATCTCATTGATCTTAGCAGGACTGATTGGTGGTGTCCGTCTGAAGACTCCGAGATGGGCGGTTGTACCTACTGCAAAGTCGTTGAGCTTCTTCGTGTTGTGTCGTCACTAAGAAAGCGATTTTGCTTCATTTGTGATACAATACCAGGCTGTAGAGATGCAAACCTATCTGATCTGATCACATATTTTGATCAGCTTATACTTTGCACTGCGGAATTTCGACAATCCTGAATTTTGCCCCCACCCCCTGACTGCCCTCGCTGCTGTGTCTTTCAGTTACGTACAGCGAGTGCCGGTCTCCGCCGAGCCGGACGGCTGGGTGTCGGAGGCGGCCGGCCGGCAGCGCTCGGCCCTCCTGCCGCCGCCGCAGCCGTGGGGTACCGGTCTCCGTGTGACCGGTCCCGGCCGGGGAGCCGTGCCGCCCTTTAGCGAGGCTGGTGGACCGGCCCGGCCCGAGCTGGGCGCGGCGCTCTCACTGGTGGTCGGCAAACTGATCAGCACTCTGATGATGACCGACTCAAAACATATGGTGGTGAGTGGAATGGTTACTGGGAGGCTGCATTGAGTGTGTGTGTGTGTGTGTGGGGGGGGGGGGGGGAGAATTCAGGCCGGACGGGCCAGGAACTTAATCAGGTGTCAGTGTTTTATTCTTACCGCTCACGTAGTCCGTACTACTTTTGTAAATCTCGTCTACACAAGTATTGTCTGACCCGTCGGCAGTGTAAATGGTTTCTATGGTCGGCTTGCCATCGAATCTGTTTCGTCTCCGGCTGACTGACTCTCTCCTCTGCCCGCCGGTCCACACCAGTCGGGGACGGTTCTGGCGCTCAGGGCTCTCATGGACAAGATGCCGGCCACTGTATACCCGGAGGCCTGGCAGGTCAACCACAAACGGTGAGCAATGCCAATGAGGAACCAGTAAAGAACGGAATATTGCTGTTTTTATGGCACTACGTTCTTTCAAGCGGCGTGATATGAAAGTGTCATTTTGCGTGCATGGTAAATGAAAAATAATTATTTTGTTGATGTCACTATGCCGCTTCAGACGGCAGTGATGGTTCGCTGACAAGTGACAAATATCTGTTTTTGTTTCAGGTACCGCCGCGGTCTGTACCAGCTGTGCGTTTCCATGGTTACGTCCACACAACTGATGCACGACCTGGCCACACACAACAACCTGGTGCACCTGGCTGCCAGCCTCGCCGCCGGTGAGTTACACCAACCAACTGCACCTGATCATACACAATAACCTGGTGCTCCTGATCAGACATACCAAGCTAGTGCACTCTGTTCGCCAGCCCCTTGGCTGATTATTGATTAAGTACTAACCTGACCACAGAGCTGTGCATTTGGTTTGTACAGGGTGGGGCAGAAAGATTTACCTGTTTGTTTTCAGACCATAGCTTAAGAAGTTATGAACGGATTTTGATAAAATTTTGCATGCAGCTTCCCAACTGACTCATGTATCAACATTAAGATCGTTTTTACATTTTGTAATAGTTGTTGGTGAGCTATGGCGAAGATGACTAAGTGAGCCCAACTTGCGGCGCTTAAGTACTGGCTGGCCACAGCTTCCGAAGCGTTGCCAAACAGCTCGGTGTTGCCGTAAAAACTGTTTGCAGTGTAATTAAATGAATTAAAAAGACAGTGTTAGTGTCGACGAAGTCCATGCCAGGTAAAACAAGGGATTTCCGCTTCCAAAAACTGGTTAATATCGTGCACAAGAAGGTGTTTCAAGTCCTTGGCGAAGCATGCGCAAACTGCCAAGGGACCTCGGTGTTTCGCCCAGAACCGCCAGGAGAATAAAAAACGACGGCTTAGGGTTCATGTCATACAGGATGTAACGTCGACACCTAAATTCGGCGGCATCCAGGGAAAAGCGGCTACACAGGACCCAAAAGACATTGGAGGAGATCAGGAGCGCCGGTAGCAAGGCATTCTGCTGGTCCAATGACAACATTTTCATGCCTGAGCCCCAGAGACACTCCCAAAGCGTCAGAATTTTGGCAGATGGTCCATCCATCAAGGGATCAGGCCCTTGGGATCTGGTCCTTGGGACGGCACCGTCGAATCTGGGCGGGGACACCGTGCGGCGCTAGTGCCCCTCCTCAGAGGAACGTTTCGAGGCAGTGGTGGAGGACAAAGGTGACCATTTTGAGTCATAATGCCGTCGCTGAGATGTGTACATGTTACTGCATATATGTGCAAGAAATCAATTTGATATCTTTGTTCGGTGCCGAAATATTTAAGAAAATCAAGAGGTAAATCTTTCTGCCCCACCCTGTACTTCTATCGGTTGTTATTTCTTTGCCCCCGTAGCCCATGTTTCCTTCACATATGCCCCAGCAGCGACTGAAACCGTGCTGTCCCTGCAGGGATCTGCGTGCGCCAGCAGCGGGCGCGACCGTCTCAGAGCCGGGAGGAGCGACTGAGGGCCAACTGGGACCTGCTCGAGCCGCTGGTCACCCACGTGATGCGCGTGATGAACATCTACAGCCACCTGGTCGGCGACACGCAGCCCACCACGCCGCAGAACAAGTCAGTGGCGCTCGGAGATCATACTGGGGTTGGGGGAGTATTTTCAAATGAAGGTTTGTCTCATTTTGGTAGATGACGGATGAAGCAAGCTTCCAAACGGACTCTGTCCTGCTAAACGTGGAAGTATTGCAACTGCAGTTATTTAGTGAGAAGATGTATGATGCATTTTCTTTCCCTACTCGTTCCAGACTATATTTCTTCTTGTGCAAAGGTATAAACGTAACCACTCATCGGCAATGTACTTGCTCTTTGACCCTGATCACCGACCTCACCATTGATAGGTCGAGTCTGCCCAGTTTTCCAACTGCCAGCTCGTTGTCGCCGATCAAAAAGCGCAGCACCCCGGAACGGTCAAAGTCTGCCACCAGCACTACTACCACCTCCACGGCAGCGTCTTCCACGCCCGCCCCGGCGCCCGCCTCTGCCGCCTCCGACCGGGCTGGTATGTACCGTGCTTATTTGGCACGTCAATGTAGTCCTCGTGAGTCGTGACGTTGCACGACTCTAAGTCTTGCATGCGGCAGGTCAGAGCAGCTGCTGCTGTTGTCAAGGAATATTTAATTGCTTTCGGAGCAAGGTGTGCCGAAATCGGGGAAGTTGCTGAGCTTAGTTTTGAATATGTCCTGGAACCCAAACTTATAATTCTGACTAACTAGGCGATGTTTCATGTTGCTCATTGTTGTTGCATCATTATAAATCGGAACATGTGCCAAGTTGCAACATGAGCTGTTTGCAACATGCAACATGAGCTGTAGCGGATTTGCGATTTTTATTTACCGTGTCTCGCTGTGGGGCACGCCTTGACGCCGGACTTCGTCAATGTTCTTCGCCAGGTTCACAAGAGCGGGAGGAGAAGGAGGCAGACAAGAAGGTCCGACAGGCCGTCGGGTTCTTTATGTCATCACCCGAGTACCAGAAGCTGTACTCGATGCTCAAAACCATTTACGAGACATTCAAGGTGTGTCTTCATGATATTTAGGATCAGCGTGTAATGCACCGTGTAATGTGTATTGCCTTTTTCCTATATTTTCGACAATGTCGATCCATAACTGACTTTGCGACGCCTTGATTTCCAGCTGCATTCTCCTGACTCCCCCCCCTATATCTGCAGATCACGCTGAACGCCCAGAGCTCTGAGAAGCTACTGGGCGTGCTGTCGGGCTGTCTGACGGCGCTGGGCATCCTGCTCGAGCTGGTCGGCACGGCCCAGGTGGCACCGCTGGCCGAGGAGCTGCTCGGATACGTCACCGGGCTGATACGACTGACACCGGCGCTGGCGCTGCACTGCGTGTTGCAGGTAGGTAGGGAATGCATGTCTGGGGATGGTTCACCGTGTGATACCGGGAATGGTCAGGGAAGCTAATTTTGTTAACGGTACTTAATTTGCTCCAGATGGGTAGGAACCTGGGCGATGATGACGGAAAAATTCGCTAGTCCCTCTTCGGTGATTTCATTTTATGATGAATATTCAGACTGGAGTTGCTAAGTTTGGTCGATTGATTTGTCTCCTGATAGCTTGCAACTAGCGGCATGAGTTAAATGCTTGATGTTCATATCCATTACCCAGTTGATGTGTTGTTGCGAACCCCTACCGTCATTCAGTTGTAATCAGCATGCTCACAACGTACTGTCATCCGTATCTGCTAACATCGCTCCACCGTCGCGCCATTTTCAGCTGCTGCGCGCCATGTTCGGCTCGGCGGACGCGGCTCGTCCGTCGGGCTCGGCCGGCCACCTGTCGCGGGACGCCAGCACGACGTCGTGCGCGGCGGACGACGAGCCGGGCCTGTACCAGGCGTGTGTGAACGGGCCTTATGCCGAGCTGGCCGCGTTTGTGGCCACCTCCCGGCGACTGACGGCGACCAACGAGGATGGCACGTGGGTGTGGAGGGGAGTCGGGGAAGATTGAGGGTGAAGAGGGGATGACAGCAGCGAAAGGGCTGGTAGCATGCAGCGTAGGGTTTCTGATGGTTATCTCTTGTCTTACGGCTTGCTTTTACTGTGTTCCGACGCTCTTTCATTAAATTGGTATACGTTTCTTTCTCTCAACCTCTTAATATATCTTGTTTGTACAGATTGTGTTGGTTCGAGCTGCGTACCAAAGTTAAGTAAAAGGTAATGTTAAGTAAAATATGTTCGGGCCTCCACGGCTAGTTTGGTTAACAGACACTTCGTTTTGATCCCAGCAGGTTAACCATGCTACCACTCTAGCTCGGGCCGTCACTGTGACCTCAGCTCACCGTTCTACCTTTCCAGTTCTCCGTCGCCTCGGCCGGAATACGACAGTCGCCGGCCGGGACTCAGCTCGGGCCGCAGTACCGACAAACAGGCGCTGGCCTCCTACATCCGAGTCTTCGAGCCGTCTGTCATCAAGGCGCTCAAGGTGGGCAGGCATGACGGCGGGGTGGGCGCTCGTGGTTCATGGTTGTGTTGCATGGCGATTGTTAACTTCATTGTCATTGCCAGTAAATTGTAGCTAAATGTCTTACACTATCAGCAGATAAGCTAAAACAAAAATGTTTACTGCTCAGTGCTCATCCTTGTTTCACAACATTTCCGACAACGGTCTCTTAGACGCCCATACCACTCTGATCATCCATAGGACCGCCTGCTCCCTAGACATGCTTAGACCAGACCCGATACCCCTCCGATCTACCGTCCATCGGACAGATCGCCCTCAAGAACACACGTTCAAACTATCTCCCTTCCCAGCTGTACACTGTGACCAGCGACCCGGAGGTGCAGAGTCAAGTGCTCTGGCTGCTCATTCAGCTAGTCCAGCTGAGAGTCAACTACTGTCTGCTCGACTCGGACCAGATCTTCATCGGCTACGTCATTAAACAGCTGGAGTACGTCGAGGAGGGACAGATGAAGTGAGTTGTGCTACAATAGCGAGCGTTGTCTGAGAGTGAGCCACTGCACTAATTTTCAGCTATATGTGAATTTTGTCATAACCGTAATATGGCCGAAAGAGAGCAGTGATACTTTTCCCTTTTCATGGACCGGGCTATGCTGTGCCTATGTAGCGCTGTTACAGCGCTACATAGCTCTACTCCGATGCTTATTGGAACTCGACACGTGTTTCCGGTCAGGTCCTAGCTGAACGGGATATTTTGGCTTTAATCCTGTCACTATTTTACACCCAATCGCCGGCTGCATTCTATTCTAACCTGACCCCATGTGACCGTTCACCAGGGAAGGTAACCAGGTGATCCCTGCCATCTTCCGGTTTCTGGTGGCATTGTCCTACGAGCGCTACCACTCCAAGACGATCGTCTCCATACCCAAGGTCATCCAGCTGTGCGATGGCCTCATAGCCAGCGGTCAGCCGCCGGAGACTTACGGTAAGGATATGGACGGGGGGGGGGGGGATTGAGTAGTTCAGTGGTGTGGCCTATTGACCAATATTTGCTCAGACTTTATTGTTTTAGGTGGTTGTACATTTCATCCATGTTCAAATAGAATATTTGAATGACATGTAACGTTGAAGGTAATGTTTTGGCCTTTCGATCGAGGCAGTTTTTAGCATCTTCTGTGGTTCGAATTAGAGGGCTTGTAATGAGCTCAAGAAGTTGTGTTACTTATCCCCGGCTACTGTCTGTTACACCAGTGGTATCACGGTCGGCATGGCATCCTGTGCCCATCCTGCAATCTTATTACGAGCGAGCGAGCGCAGCGAGCGAAGTGAGTCTTTTCAATATAACGGAAAAATCTCAGTATGAGCGGCCCGGCCCGGCCCGGCCCGGCCTGTAACGCTTTTGAGAGGCTTATATCTCAGCAACCGCTGGACCGATTGGCCTGCGGTCTTTTTTGTTGGGTAGCCCCATCCCTTCTACCCCGTAATTGACTACTTTTGATACATCTCAGCGACCGTCGTGGCACGTGCCACGTGAAAAGTCAAGGGTGTTCAAGCTGTTTTGCAAAAGTAGTGATTTTGAGAGGCTCATATCTCAGCAGCCGCTTGGGCGATTGACTTGCGGTAATTTTTGTAGGGTAGCATCATCCCTTCTACCCAAAATAGGATACTCTCGATGCATGTGGGTCACCCCCAGTGCACGTGCAAAATACAACAATAAGAGGTGCCAAATTTGTTCCCATTTCAGTAACTCGGTAATTACTGGGGCGATTTCGCTGAAACTTGGCATACAGGTAGGCACCCACCAGGCGATGCATTCCCATGTGTTGCGGTTAGGGTGCTACTGCACGTGCGCACGTGCAGGGGGCGTTTCCAGATCTCGAGAACGGCTGGGCCGATTGCGCTCAAATTTGGTACACGGTTGGGGACCAGTTAGTAGGGTGCCGTGCAAAAGTCATTTTGGACCCCGTTTGCACGTGCGCACGTGCAGAATGCCGCTTCCAGATCTCAGGAACGGCTGGGCCGATTGCGTTCAAATTTGGCACACCGTTAGCGGCCGGTTAGAAGGGTGCTTTGCGCAAGCCCGTTGGAAGCACCCTCTCGCCCTTCCGCACGTGCAGGGCTCACTATCTCGCTCGCTCGTTCTTCGCCCAAAAGGCGTTTTACTGGTGTGAGCTTTATATCTTTATGCCCCCATCATACCGCATCAGTCTGACTTGGTTTACCGTATTTCCGGTCCGCAGCACTGCCTGCGCTCCGTCCCATCGTCGAGGACCTGTTCGTATCGGCTCGGCCGTCTGTCCAGGACGCCAAGGAGCTGGAGGCGCAGAAGGAGGTGCTGCTCAGCATGCTGCTGCGGCTGATCCAGTACCCGGAGGTCAGTCAGGGCCGGCAGGGTGGTCGGCAGAGTCGGCGAGAGGGGACTGATCTGTCAGCTCTTTCAGTTCTTTTCTGACGCAATGGAAGTTTGCACGTACTATGATGACTTTTGACGATATGAGTTCAGATAACTTTAAGTCTAGTCAGGTTTCTTTGTTTCTACTTGACTGTATGATGTCTATTACCCATTCCATATCTTACTCAGGATGATAATCAATCTCAGCTTCTATTTCACTCTGTAGAACCTGACCTTCTTACACCTTTCCTCTCGTCAGGTTCTGGAGCTGGTATCGCTAGCCGTGTGTGAGTCTCGCCGGGACGGTGAGGAGCGCTGGCGGCTCGCCTCGCGCGCCGTCCTGGACGCCCTGCTGCCGCCGCTGTTGCAGCTGCACGTGAGGCTCGACTCGCCCGAGGCGCTGGCGGCGCTCCACCGGCTGCTGGCGGCGCTGTGCCCGCGCGCCCTCCGGCCCGCCGAGGACCTGCTGTCGGGCCTGCTGCGGCACCCGGTCGGCGTGGTGAGTGGGGAGCGGAGAGTCCTGTCGGTTCAATTCATGACTTCTTCGACTTGCTTTGACCCAGTGCCTATGAGCTGTATGCTAGCTTGGTTTATTTTATTGTTATGATTCCCTCATGGGCATTTTGTCGAACTATTGCGATGTACTCACAGCCAGTCCCCTCCCCGCCTCCTGTATAACTGCCCCTCCTGACATAGGACTCCCTCTCCACCACTCCCCCGCCCCCTATCTTACCGCCCGTCTCTCTCTGTGCCGCCAGTCCTCGGTCTCGGACATGCAGCGCTGGGGCGGCATGATATCGGCTCTGCTGCGCGTGCTGGTCACACACGTGCGGGAGGACGTGCTGCTCGCTAGGGTGGATGACCTCGGACTGGCCACCACGGAGCTGCACCGGGACCGGGAGCGAGCCGTCAGCGCACAGGAGATCGTCGTTAGGTGGGCAGTGTGGAACGTTGTTGGGTGCGAACTGCGACGGGAGTCGATCTGTAGGTTTTTTGCTGATTGGCCGGTGCTGATTGGTCCCCCAGGTAGGTCCCCGGAGGGGAAAGTAAATATGTTTCCTATTATCAGATTCGTACTGTTTGATCTTTGTCTTCAGCTGATGTGCTTATATTTATTTTATAAGAAGTGATTCGATCAACATTCTTGCTCAAGAAGTCCTCAGACGCTGAATTATAGTATATTATATAATTAATACAATTGAATTATAATAATAATATAGTTAACTCGTTGAATTAATAGTTAAAAAACATAAAGCGTCGTTGAATTTCTCACTTTCGTCCCCCTGTTACCTCCAGGTTCCTGCTGTCTGCTCTGGAGCTGCTGGTCGGCCAGCTGGCCTCCGTGGTAGCCAGCCCTCTGATGTGGGGCACCACCACCTGCCTGCCGCAGCTGCTGGCTCAGCTCCTGCAGATCATCATCTACATACTGCAGTCCGGTGAGACGAGCGCACTCGCCCGTCCCGCCCGGACGGTAGCTGAGAAAAGGGAGTTTTAGTAGAGGTGTATTTAGTAGTAGATGTAATGGAAGCTTTATCTATTCAAAACTACTTTAAATTAACTGCTTTCTTATAACGTGTTTGCTAGAAGACGTAACAACAAGCCATCCAAATGCCCTGCTGTATTTCTTTCTGGGAAGTCTTTTCCTCCTTGCGTCTTGTAGCTCCTATTTCCGTGTTCTTGACGCTTACATCGCCCGTCCGTTTCCAGGCGCGTTTGGCGAGTGCGCACGCTGCGCTATGTGGCTGGTCTCAGAGGGCCTGTACGACCTGGATCCCATCAGCAGCGCTTTCCTCAGCCTGGCCGGCGTGCAGCCGGTGCTGCTGCTCTCCTGGTGTAACCTGCTCACACTGCTCAACTACCGGCAGCTGGACTTTTGGCGCGCGCTCACCCAGCCGCCCGCCGACCCCAGGTGAGACCTGCGTCCCTCATACAGGTCACACCGGCCGGGCCCTGTAATATATCAGACCCCAGGTCATACCTGAGTTTCATACAACTGACCTCAGGTCAGAGCTCAGAATATCCGGCCTTTGCAATATAGGTCTGGTCTGGCCCCAACTGCAGCCCTCAGCCGACTGGGCCGTATTCCATCTGCCTATAGCTCTGGCTGATCCGCATGTAACTCAAATGTTTTACGGTAAAATTGCTAGGGTACACTGGCAGAATTTCTGGATGCTGTGACGTCACTCATGCGCTCGTTTCCTTGGTGGCAGCTATCGGTGTTGACGCATTCTTTTCCTGTTTCAGCTGGGAATCGACAGGGTGTCTGGCCCGTGACCTGGCCCGCAAGGGAGCTCTCATTCTTCTCTGTGATTACATGGTGAGAACTCCTCTGATCATGACCATATTGAAAACCAAGTGCTTTGGTATTTAAATCGAACGCTTTGCATTCCTCGTGACTTAGTTTGGACGAGCACATGCTTACTTTGCCACTTGTTATCGATCTTCCCTCTCTCACTTATCGTGTTATCCGTGTAAGAAACGTCCGACGGTGAGCTGCTGTTGCTCACCCTTTCTCTGACTACCTGGTCCTCCCCAGCGTGAGAACACCTCGGACGGTGAGCTGCTCGCCTGGCTGTTCAGTACTTACCTTTCACTCACATGTCCCCCAGTGTGAGAACACGTCGGACGGTGAGCTGCTCGCCTGGCTGCTCACCTCTCACATGACGGAGCTGGTGGCGCTCAGTGCCGAGCCTCCCGTCTCCGATATGCTGGCCGCGCTCCACCGGAACCCCTCGGCGTCCGGCCTGCTGATCCAGGCCATCGCCGCGCGCTGTCGGCATCTGGATCAGGTAGGTGGCGAGGAGTAGAGGGAAGGGCGCGGTGCGCAGAGCGGGATGAAGAGAGTTGACTTCTTGCTTGACGAGGCACGGACTCTTGTTCACTCCTATGACTGAGCTGACGATGCTGTATGACTAGTGTAATTATGCCTCATAATAGAATTACACGCCCATACGGCAGTGCCCTGGCCTTGGCACGAATGTTATAGCACAGTTGTCCCATGTCTAGTCCTGTCATGTGCCCCTCTGCACCCGTAAGCCCCTCGGCCCTCAGTCTGATATGCTGTCTGCTGTTACAGCCGCTGATGGCCCAGCGCGTGCTGCGCTGTCTGGAGGGAGCGCCGGCCGCTCAGTACGGGCCGCTGTTGCTGCTCCTGTCTCGCCGGCTGATGACCTCACACCACCTGGTCGTGGCCGACGAGGTCATCCGGCTAGCCTGTAGGTCAGTCAGCCTCTGAGGGTCACTGGGACTCTCTGGGAGGTCACTGAGGTCAATTTTGGCCAGTTTGTGACCGGGGGAGACATATAGCCGCAGCTTACTTTGACACATGCTACATAGACCTCTTGATGGTGCCTTTAATATTTTAAAATTGTTTCGAATGTTGTGAATACTTAGCAAGTTAGCCACACCCACTCATTTTTGCTTATTCGTTTGTTCCGCAGGAAGTTGGAGATAATGCTGGCGGCTGAAGAGCGAATACTTTCAGAAGACAACTTCAATGAACTGGTGGAAAATATATCGAAAGAACCATCTCTAATGAGGTAAACGGAGGTTGTTTGAAAAGACAAACACTATTCGTTAGAATTGTGTTTTTCTATTGAATATTTCTGATGGCAGGGGGAGGGATAAGGGTCATTAGGGGTGTTAGCAACCACTAAGCACAATAATTTTAGATGTATTCATTCGATCACGGAGCTATATTCGACCTTACCGGTACTGACTGCGCTCCTTTTCTGCTGCAGGGAGCGCGAGCTGACCTCGCTGGTGACCCGGCTGGGTCAGACGTTCTTCGGTGTGCCCCTGGCTCTGGGTGAGGAGGAGGCTGAGAGGCCGGCCGTTGCGCCGCCGGCAGTGCCCGACCGAGACTGGTACCGGCAGCTGGTCAGGGACACGTGAGTGTGACCGGGTAGGGTAGTTCATCCATCGGGCAACGTTATGGGCGGTGCACTGGTAATACTGATCTGAGTGATCGTAGTAATCAGGTGATGTGGACTGCACGTTGTGCAATGTGGATCGGACGTGAGACCACTTAATAAATGTGGCTTGTGGTGGGGTGTGTGCACTTAGATGAGGCAGAATACAATTGATCTGATCGTGGTAACATGAGAGTTCGAATTAATTTTTTAGCGCGGATTAATCTTTTGAGACGTTTCTGTTTTGCGTGGCGCAGATGCCGTCTTGCATTTTCTTACACTTTTATTGCTTATGTTAGGGCCTCGATCTGGAGTTCCGGTCTCGTGTAAAAATTGATGGCTTAGGTCGGTATATTTCTTAATTGTAAATGTACTTTTTAGGAGCGGCTGGTCTGAGGCTCCCGGTCGAGAGTGCGCCCGTCTCCTGGCACGGCTGGAGCACCAGGAGATCCTGGACATCCTCATGGCTGAGGGAACTGACCTGGCCATCCTGGAGCACTGCTTCCGACAACCGGACATAGGCACGGAGGTCAGAGTCACTGCTCACTGCATGCTAATAACGTAGAGGCTTTTTTGAAGTCATTAAGACTACGTTAAAACTCTTTTTTTACTGTTGTGTGTGTCACTATTTACTCGGTCACGTTTCGGGGTATGTCGATCGTATTTCATCGTTCTGCATCGTATACAATAGACAAAGGCTGAATCTGCCAGTTTTTTTTTTTTGAAAATACGCATGACGCTTCTTCGTTTCTGTGACATGCATTATTACGACTGTGTTTCTGTGTGCACAGGCTGGCGGCTCGGCGCTGTACGCCGCGGCTGAGACTGCTCTGTGTCAACATCTGGAGCTGATCTGTAGCCAGCTGCCTTCGCCCGATCAGGTAAATGTGCCTCGATTCAGTGGACTACTACCAGCCAGTTAGAACACTCAGGTAGCAAATTTAATGTCTGCGATAACTATTGTCAACGAATGAGGTCCACGAAACTTGTTATTTTGTAATCATTTCACCCGAGGTGGCAGCTCAGGATGTTAATATCCCGCGCCTTTATCATTCATCACCCTTCAGCAGCTTTCACTAATCACTGTGTGACCCTCCTCCGTTTCTAACAATTTTTCGCCAGTGACCGACATCATTGCGCGCTCTAACCCCTCATGTCTCCATCGAACAGGCGTTCGCCAGTGACCGGTATCGTAAATACACCCGCCGCCTCGAGGAGCAGCTCTGTGAGCCGACTGTATGGCGGCGCCTGCTGCGACTGGCGGCCGGCGTCCAGGCCTACTGTGCCTCCCGACACACTGCCACCGTTCACCTGGAGCCGCCGGAGACGGCCGCCGCGCCACTCGCCAGGCTGGCGCTGCTCTGTCTGGAGGTGAGATTGGGGCAGAGGGCGGGGGGAGGGAGGGAGGTGGCGGTGCTGCTGGCCAGGCTGGCGCTGCTCTGTCTGGAGGTAAGATTGGGGCAGAGGGTGAGGGGAGGGAGGGAGGTGGCGGTGCTGCTGGCCAGGCTGGCGCTGCTCTGTCTGGAGGTGAGCCCGCGAGGGAGAGTGGGAGGAGGAGGCATAGAGTTGCAGGCCACGCGCACGGGGTAATATTTGGTGTCATGTGGCAAACGTGTCATGTTTTGTCGTAGGTTTCAAAATACCGAAGCTGGTGTTACTAGGTTAAATCGCGAACAGCTTGAGGGTGACTTGTACTCATATGGTGTATTCGACGAATCTCTTAAATGAAGGTCTATTGATTTTAGTGACCAGAGGTGGTACATAATTACGTTGGCTGGCCGAAAAAAAATGTTTGACGGTAAATTGATGTTGGCTGAACGTGAGTGGAGCTCTCCGTGTGCTGACCCTTGTCCCCCCCCCCTCACCCGCCAGGCTCTGCGCTACAGCGTGACCTGCCGTCTCCCGGAGCTGCCGCGACACGTGCGCGTCCTGCTGGGCACTGCCGCCGGCTGCCTGCGACTCTCCTCTGTGCTGGCCGAGCTGGCCGCCAGGGACACCCAGTGGACGGTGCTGGCAGTGAACGCCATCTACCGGGTGACGCGCGTGCTGCGCGGTGCTCTGCCAGAGACTTGTGAGCAGGGAGGGGAGAGGAGGGCAAAGGGCTTGAGGGAGGGCGTGTTTAATGTGGTCTGGATGTTTTATATGAAATGTTCGTAAAAAAGTTATTTTAGCTGGGATAGATCACTGGTTTTGCTTGTGTGCCGCAGCCACTCTGAGCTCACGTGGTTACGGTTAGATTCAGTTGTTCGCCTTTTACTTTTTTCTATCTACAATGTGCATAGTCACAGCTATTCATATTCATATTCATACACCAATGTTCTTTGTTTTCAAACAAAAAGTTATTTACTCTGTTGTGCAAGTTCCGGAGATCTCAGCTCTCTTCCAGACCTTGAAGATAGTGTCTCTTGGTGTCTCTCACTAAGCCCGTTTGTCTGTGTGTGCCTGCAGCGGTGTCGGCAGTGTCGACCGGCGTCGAGTCGCGCGTATACCAGCGGATGGCCTCGCTGATGCTGTGGGCAGAGGCTCTCCAGGACAGACACGAGACAGCCACCAGGATCAGGTCAGAAATCGGATGTGGTGCGAGGAATATCGTTCGGCTCTACTTGTAACTCCTGTTACATGTAGTTGCAGTTACCATGCTAAATTTTGTTACCTTGATAGAATATGTATGACAGTTCAGCTTCTTTCTTCATCTCTTTCTTGTTCTTTTTTAAACAGCGACATTGTCCGCTAAGTGTGTGTAAAACCCGACACCACACCCCGGTAGGTCCGTGGTGCTGGCGGTGGGCCGCCTGCCCCTGCTCTCCAGTTTCCTGCGCGTGCCTCCGGACGTGTACCGTCTGGGCTGGGACGAACAGGAGCGCCAGAGACAGGGCCGCTTCAGTCCGGTGGCCGTCCAGTACCTACAGGAGGCCGATGTGCTCAAACAGTACATCCTTAGGTGGGTATGCTTTCCAAGCCGCTAAGTTCTAGATACGACTGAAATATAATGGCTGTGTCGGGCTTCACGAATATAATTTGCATGCGTATTGTAACAGAAATTGTGCCTTGCATTCAGGCATGCTTAGAATATGCTTCAAATCCGAAAGTTTCTTGGGAGGCCTGTCCCTTAGTTACACGAACTGTCTTGTTCTATCTGTCTCTGTGATGCTGACCCGTAGTATGCTTGTTTCCCCAACAGAGTGAACACTCTGGGGTGGACGGGCCGCCGTGAGTTCGAGGAGACGTGGATGACGTACCTATCTGTGCTGAACGCGGCTACTGAGGATGACACCTCCAACCGGGAGGAACTGGCCGTCCTCCTACAGGTCAGGGTCACCGGGTCAGGGTCACAGGGTCAGGTCAAGGTCACAGGGTCTGGTTAGGGACAAGGGGTCACTGGGGACGACACCTCCAACTGGGAGGAACTGGCTGTTCTGTTAGAGGTCAGGGGGCACGGGGTCAGGGTCACAGGGTCAGGTCAAGGTCACAGGGTCTGGTTATGGACCAGGGGCCACTGAGGATGACACCTCCAACCGGGAGGAGCTGGCCGTCCTGCTACAGGTAGGGGGAACGGGGTCAGGGTCAGGGTTACGGAGTCATCAGTTGCAAAGGGCTGGATGGTGGAGTATTCTCAGACATTGGCACCATGACTGGCTGAAGCAGTAGTGGTTATCTTTACCATTGTTTGCTCCTAAGCCTTTGCGGAACTTCACTGCTTGCTCTGAAGCCATTGACGTTACCCTGTACTCCGTCACAGACCAACTGCCTGGCGGTGCGCGGCATCACCTCGCTGCTACTGCAGACGCTCACCGCCATGACGCCCGGCTATCCGGAGGTCAGCGCCACGCTGCACTACCCCCGAGACCACCAGCCCGTCTTCGTGCCAGGAAGGTGAGATGACGTGGTGGCAGCCGTGTGTGAATGGTGGACGTCTCTTGTTAGGATGGAGCGGGAGGGCTGTGACAGGGGGGAATGTGCGAAGGGTCGCGATGGGTGCCTCTTGTGAGGGTGGGGAGGGCGTTGTAGCTCTAAAGGTGGGACTTGGAGCACGCAAATGATCCGAGACCTTCACTCGCTGTTCTTCGTTGCCTGGGTTGCGTGCAGGCATCGTTTGCTGGTCGCCTTCATTATATTTACTGCCCAGGCTGCTGATATGTCTGACATTAGTCCCCCTCCCAGCTCCATCATGCACCTGCACCGGACACTGCAGCAGCTGGAGGCGGCAGTGGCAGCCTCGCCACTGCTGCCGCCCATGGTGTTCGCGCGGCAGCTCAACCTGGAGCGTCGCCACGACGCGGGGAGCTATGGCCACGGACAGCTGTCGCTGCGCTATCTCCAGGGAGTCATCAGTGGCAACAGTGAGTGAGGAAGCGGGGGCGAGGTGAGCGGGGAATGAAACGAGACCGTATTGAATAGGAAACGGAGCTGGGGAGCTTGGTGGGTCTGTTGCTTAGTTTTTAGCAATGCGTCAGCCTTAGATTGTGAAATGCTACTGCCAAAATGTGTTCCGCTTTGACCTTTTTTTCTGTCTAGCATTTGTTAAAAGTGGCTCGCGATGATGAATCGCAGGCCATCGGGATCTTGGCTAATCATCAGCTCTCTCTCTCTCCGCCCGCCACTCATGGCTGCTTGGTTCATACTGGTAGATTGGTTGTTTATCATTCCTGCCTGCTTATTGACCACTCTTTCCTCTCCGTCTATCGCAGACGGCGCCCACTCTGGCCGCGAGGTGGCGCTGGCGGCCGCCGGTCTGGACATCAACTCGTGTCTGGTGTTCCTGCTGCAGCTGTACGCCCAGTGGACGGCGCCGGAGGTGAGCCCGGCGACTCTGGGATGTAATGACTGACTGGGGTCCGCTTTCGGCCCTCCTTTACCGTGGCAATCACTGTCCCCCTTCGTCCCACTCAGATGGATGTGTCGCCGCTGATTTTCCCTTCCCCTGTACTCAGATGTTCCTACCGCATTACTTACTCCTCCTCCCCCGTCCTCAGTTGGGCATGTCTGCCGCTACCGGCTCAGATTGACTATCTTTGCCACTACTGACAGTCCCCCTCCTCCGTTCTCAGATGGGCGTGCCGCTGCCGCTGCTCACTGAGACGCTCCGCTCGGCAGTGCTGCTCTCAGACCTACTGACCGAGCGCGGCCAGTTCGAGTGGCTGCTGGCCACCTGCGTCTCGCTCTACCAGCTCCACCCGGTCGATGACGAGATTATGCTTCAGTACCTGGTGCTCGGACTCTGCAAGGCGGCCGCTGTCCTGAATGCCGTGAGTGAGGGGCGTTGGGGACGGTAGGCTGCCGCCTATAACTTTTTTCCTAGAACGATATTACGCAAAACACGCAAACCTGCTGGGCTGCATGTGTGGAACAGAGCTGTCATCCGTATGTTCATCTTAGAGAACCTTATGCAATCTGGCCTCTCTGTTGCTCGTCCCTGCTATTACAGTCCTTGGCGCAATTATTACCCTCTAGCCTCACAATGTCGCCGCTACAGACCTTTCGTTTTCCTGAAATGAGAGGTCACGGTCATTGGTGAGGTGCTTCACATCTGACAATCTATCTCCGCCCTCTAACATCTTTGTCCCGCCAACAGGAGGAATCTACAGTGGTGGAGACGGTCCGCCGCGCCGTGGAGCACGGCCTCCGCTGTCCACTGCCGCCAGTACGCAGCGCCACCGTACACGGCTGTCTGTACCTGCTGCAGCTGGGACAGGGCGAGCTGAGCAGCGCAGTACTGCCGCCGCTAGGAGAATTCGTACAGCGCAGCCTGCACCATATCGCCACGTGAGTGGGGGCTGGAGGAGGGAGGTGTAAGTTGGAACTCTGCATTGAAGTGGCTTCGGTTGATTGATTTACAATCCCGTGAGGAGTGAGGAGCGGATTAAGGTGAATGAATGAATGAATAAATGAATAGTACTGAGCTTTGAGTCCGATATAGCCACAGTACCTATTGCCATGTTGTTGGCTGGAGCGGGCGGTGCGTGGTGCTGAGCTGTCGTGTTTTAGGCGCTGGCGTGCCATGCGCCATTTATAGGCTGTGCTTTTATCAAGCATGAGTTTGTGGGCTACTATCTGATGGCCCGCAGTTGGGTTCCCTAAATTTCCACATTAGTAGCTAACATGCCATTTGACCCCCCTCGTCCCGTCAGCGTGCCCGGCTACAACGACGACCACGACCTGTCGGTGTGGGCGGCGGCCGTGTACGTGCTGCAGCACTACGACGACGGCCTGGCCGAGTCCGAGTTCTCGCCGGCTGTACTGCAGCTGGCGCTCGGACTGGCCGGCAGCACCCGATCCTCGGCGCTGTATGAGGCACTCATGAAGGTCAGTGACTCGCTCCTCGGCGCTCTATGAGGCACTCATGAAGGTTAGTAACTCGCTCCTCGGCGTTATATGAGGCTCTCACGAAGGTCAGTAATGGGTCATAGGTTACCCGATCGTCGGCGAACCCTCTTGAAGCTTAATGACAGGCCAGGGGTCAGGTCACAGGTCACCATCTCTTCGGTGCTGTATAGGGCAGGTATTAGGCAGGACCAAGGCCCTAAGGCAGGACTGACCTGTGAGATACTCGATGTCTGCTAATCGGTCCTGTCAGAAACGCTCTTGCAAGGCATTGCGACGTCGTGATCATGTGTAATGTCAAATAAGCGTTGGGCGCATTGTGTTGCTTACGGGCGTCATGTGCCTGTAATAGTTCGTGACACGTTTTGTATATTCCTGGCCGCAGGGCATTGAGCGTCTGGTGGTGTGCGGCACGGTGAGCGCCGCTGCCGGACCCCTGGAGTTGGCGGTGGAGCAGCTCAGGTCCCGCTCCGGCCCCGGGCAGCTGCACGCCCTCTCCCTGCTGACGGCGTGTCTGTTCTCCGGACCGGCCGCCGCCGGCGCGCACACCACACCAGAGACGTTCATACACGTGCTCGAAAAGTACTCCAACGTGTTCACTAAGTGAGTGGCCGAACATGGTGTGTGAGATTGGGAAGGTTTGAAAGTGTAGAAAATGTGCCATCATGTTTCGTTGATTTATTTTCACAATAAGAAATGATTTCGAAAAGAAACAAACCTTATTGCAGAAATATTGTGAGTGGAAGTTGAGCTTATTCGTGCGCGTGGTTCCTCCTAGTCCGTTGTGTCAGGTGTACCACCTGCAGTTCATTGATGCCTGAAGTCCCTACTATTGGGAACCTTCGCCCTCCTCTGCTCTGACCGACCGCCTCTCTCCTCACCCGCCAGGATGAAGGCCACGCCGGGCTTCCTGTCGACGGTGTTGTGCAGCTCGGTCACCTCGGGCCTGCTGCAGCTCTGTCCGCCCTCCGAGGTCATGAACCGAGTCATTGGAGAGTTCATATCGCCCCACCAGAGCCACGTGCTGGCACTGGCCGACACAGTTTTCCAGGTAAGGTGACACGGGTGACGGGACCGTGGTGTGCCGGGATTACTGAGGGGTTGGGACAGGGCGTGTGGCACTGGCCGTGTCGAAACAATGTCCAGTGGTTATTAATTTTCCGTGAGGTCGAAAATTGATCAAATCAATGACTTTATATAACATCGGTTCATAAAAAAGCCTACGCTCTAACTAGCCGCTTGTATCCTTTGAGTAGCGCTGTCGTCTCCTCCGTATTATGCCACATGACCCAATCTCAGCTTTACGTTTATTTCCTGACACTCCCTCTCCGTCTTTCGCCAGGTGTTTGAGGCGTGCGTGAGCCAGCAGCAGGAGGCGCTGCTCCAGGACTGGGTGCTCTTTAGTCTGCCCAATTTCGCCACGGCGCGTCCCTCTGCTCGCTCCACGTGGCTACTGTCCTGCTTCCTGGCCGGAGCCAGCCGGCGGCCGTGGCTGCGGGCCGCCTTCCCTCTGCTGCAGGTAAGCCGGCGGAGAGGAGGGACAGAGAAGGAGGACGCACTGCAGCACGGACCGGAGATGGAGACTAGAGAGCGATGATGGGCTGCGGGAGGTGGTCGGGTAGAGATGTTTTGTGTGTTGCTAAGGCGTCAGGGATAATTTAAATGGAGCGCACTTTTTTCTACAGTCAGTAGGTTGAAAAGTTACATGTTGACGGTAAAGGTATACGTATGCTAAGATCACGTAACCCACGGCTTTTCTGGTCCCTGATTCTATATCTAACGACGATGGTTTGCGGTAATTGTGCAGGGGAACTCCTGGCTCATCTGACTGCCTGTGACAATCCCCTTCCCTTTCTCCTGCGCAGCGGTGTGGCGACGAGGTGGACCTGGCCGGCGGCCGGTGTCCGCAGCTGGCGCAGCTCTTCCTGGCGGCCGCCACCGACTTCTACTCCCAGGTGAGTTACAGCGGTCTGTCACCCACACACCCCAACGTGGCTATAGTCGCCGCTCAAACATTGGCCTGATATAGAAGTAGAGGCCTGATATAGAAGTAGAAGCACTCTCAGGTTAGTGCCGGTCTGTTAACGAGAACCCTAACGTGGCTGGTCGCCGCTCACATTTACTTACCGATAGCATGCAGTACTCAGAGTGTCTGCCTGCCACCCACACCCCACTGCGACCGGTCGCCATTTAAATACAGTGGCTGGTGTCTGGTGACCATGCGTTGCTCCGGGTCCTTAAGTCCGTCTATGTGGCATGTCTATGAAAGTCTAGTCACTCTCCCACCATGGCCGTCAGGCTCACATGCGTTGACGTGCATTACTCTGGGGTCTCTGCCAGTCTACGTTCCGCTCAATTGCCCACTGCTACCGACTGTCGAGTGTCGAGCCGACATCCATCGGTAGCGCGATGTTTCTGGTGCCAGCAGACAGTCTGGTGAGGTCGCGGAGACATGTATTAATATTCGGTCGGCGTATGAGGCATGCAGCGCTAGTCGGGTATGTTCAGTCTACAACTGATCGACTTTCTAATCCTTCTTTGTTATTGATTAATTAAGAGCTGGAATTGTGGGAGTTTTCCCAAGCAGTTAGCGCGTGCAGCCTTCATCGAAAGATAGCAGCCCTGCCCTTGCTCAGGTGCTGCCCGCTGGAGCGACTCTGTGCTTATCATTGAACCTCTCCTGGGACCATCAATGATGCTTTTCCGAGTCCATATTCTCTGATCCTGTCCCAGGGTCAGATCTATCACTGATCTGTCCCAGATCTATCACTGATTCTCGGGTCCATCACTGATCTTGTCCTGGGTTCGTTACTGATCCTCTCTGGGCTCGTTACTGATTCTCCTCTGGGTCCGGCGCCGACGGCTCGTCGCCCTCGTCCAATCCTGGCCGTCGCCCGCAGAACCAGGGGCGCGGTTTCAGGCGGCGTATCCCCTCCATGATCTCGTCAAACGTCATCAGCGGTATATCGATGGTGTACACCGTGGCCTTGGGGTCCTGTTCCGGCACTGGACTGGCGACCTGCGGTGGCCTGTCATCCAGGACGAACGCTGGCCTCCCCTCGTCCATGGAGAGGTTGATATATCCACCGTCCAGCCGGCGCGCCTGTCCGCCCGATGAGAACCGTCCATCGGTCAGTTCCACCGTCTCTGTCAGCACGTGACGCCGTACGAAGGCCCGCTGGAACTCCGGGTCGCCGCGAAACGGGTTGGGCAGGTCACAGGGAACGACCAGTCGCATACCGTCCTCTGACGCGGCTAGCACGGTGAACGGCCCAGGGAACGGCACCAGACCGGCGGACTTGTCCTCCTCCAGCACCGAGCGCCAGATGCGGACGAACGCGCTCGTCTCCGAGCCGTCGTCGGGCGAGCGGCCCAGCATCCTGTCTTCAAAGGACACCTCGACCAGTCCCGACAGGAGGCCGGACGGGATCTCGGGCACTCCGTGACTCTCCGACATCTGAAATGGAATGGTGGGGTCTCAGCTATCTGTTTAACTTCCTGGAAAGATGTGATATTCTTTTTAGCGTGATGAGTATAAACTGTAGGGTGAATTACCTATTCATACGAGCAAATCCAAACGAATTTCGTGATTTTTTACTGTGCCATTAGTGAGAAAGAAATGATACTTAGCTTTGTGAACAAATGCAGGACTTTATCGAACATTAGGACCTTCATTTCAGTCGCATTATTTACGTTAGTGAAGTATAGTCTCTCTTGAAAGTATCGCGACTCTGAGGGAAGGCGCCACCTGTCCCAGCCGCGGTTGAGCGGAAAAGTTTGAGAGCCACTGGTAGAACTGACCGAAGCCTGACACGCGGAGGCAGCCAGCGCAGCGGGCCGGGCCGAGGGGAGTGGTTGCGGACTGCGGAGGGATAGGGGGAGGTGGCAGTCGCCATCCGGTAACTTGTGATGGCAGTAAGCATGTGGTCAACGGAAGCCACCCTACTCGCAGAGGATTTGTTGAGATTTGTTTCATTGCAAAGTTAGCAACTTGACCAGTCATCGGCACGACTGCCCTTTTTTTGGTAATATCCGGAAACCCGTGCCCAAATACCTAAAAAATAATCAGTTGCACCCGCTAACAGAATGCATCCGTGCTTGCACATGCACCCGCGAGCGGATTTAAAAACAATAATTCTCTCTCTGGCCAATTCGCCAATTCGCTCTCTAGCCATTGGCGCTCACTAAGGCAGACCAATGAGCGCCCGGCTGGTGAGCCCAAGAGGCACCGGTATCCGCCTGAGGCGGGGGGCGGGGTCAAGGGAGAGCGATACGAGCATGACCTTTGGCCGACCTCCGCTTGTTTTGACCCAGCTGTCAGCCGCTGGGGCCTGCGTCATATAGCAGTTTTCCTTCTACCGCAGGCGTAAAATCGTGTTACAGCGTATTATCTATGATACAGGCCATGACTCACTACTGGGGTCCTCAAACTGAATGGAATAATTCGCTGAGCCGACGCAGCCCAGGACGCGATACTTTCAAGAGAGACTATACATGAGTGCCAGCTTGTTAATAATTTAATAACTATCTATAACGCCTTTTGGGGCGACTAACGGAGCGAGCGAGAGGGTGAGCCTTGCAGTGCGAAATTTCGAGGGGGTACCTCCAGCTGACTTGTGCACGGCACCCTACTAACCGGTCTCTAGCGATGTGCCAAATTTGAGCACAATCGGCCCAGCCGTTCTCGAGATCTGGAAGCGGCATCCTGCACGTGTGCTTGTGCAAAATGGGTCCCAACTGACTTTTGCACGGCACCCTACTAACCGGTCCCTAACCATGTGCCAAATTTGAGCGCCATCGGTCCAGCCGTTCTCGAGATCTGGAATCGACCCCTGCACGTGCGCATGTGCAGCAGCACCCCAACTCTGGCACATGGATATGCATTGCCTAGTGGGTGCCTACCTACATGTCAACTTTCAGCGCAATCGGCCAAGTAGTTACCGAGATATTGCAACAATTACAAAAGTGACACCTCTTCGTTTTGCACGTGGCACGTGCATAAGGGGTCACCCACATCCATCGGGAATAGTCCAATACTTGCAGTAGGCAGAAGTATGGCAGAAGGAATGAAACTACCCAAAAAAAATTACCGCATGTAAATCGGTCAAGTGGTTGCTGAGATATAAGCGTCGCAGAATCGTGACCACGGCCGGCCGCTCATACTCGGAAATTTCCGTTATTCTACGTAAGACTTCGCTCGCTTCGCTCGCTCCGTAATCACAAGGTTCAAGCTGAGATCTTTCCTCGATTGTAATTAAGATTTTGATTAAAAACTTTCTCCGTGGAAGTCAACACTGAATCAAGCCTCCACAGTAAGTCACAGAAAGTATTGCGATGCCATTCGTCCACCTACCTCGATCAGTTCTGCCCGGTGAACGCTGCGCTACGCCGCCTGCGTTAGCCGCACTGCCAGTCTCCGCTCTTCAGGGAGTCTCGACGCGAATATCAGACCCGCAGTTCGAACAGTACTCAGCCCTCCGTCCATCCATTGGAGACTGTCTCCACCCGCTGTAGTCCGCCTAACTCAGTGGGCCCCCGTCCCCGCCATGCAAGTCGTCGGCTGCAGCCAAGGCCAGCCCGCCGGCCGGCCGGCCGGCCGGCCACCGCCCCAGTGCTGGATGTACGACGCCACCGTCGGGGCAAGGTGACGTCACATCGGTACCGGCTGGTGGTCCTTCCGTTACTTCCAAACCTCCGCGTAACAAAAATGCGGTGTCCAAAGCAAAACTGAGTAACACAGTACAAAAGGCAACAGCTCAGTGAATGCACTCCGAAAGCAGTGAGAGGACGGTATTCGGCAGCGGGCGGCTGGCAACAGGGATTGTTGTCGGAGGTCATTTCAAGGTCGCAGCCGGCGCTCCAAACAGAGCCGTCTGAGTGGGTTGCAAACAGATTCCGTTGGACCGCCGGACGGTCCAACGGACGGCATAAATGTCGCCCGTTGGCCGACTAGGCGTGGGGGCCGGGGCGGCTGCTTGGTGTGCCGGAGGTCTGTGCGCGCTTCGAAGAGCCAAAAGTCTGACATACCGAATTTATTATGTATTTGTCTTCAATGGCGAAAGTATATACGCTGGTAGAGCACGACAATGAAATTCGCGTGACAATAAAAGGCCACTTTTTGCCATTTCAGTTATTATGATGCATCACGCGCACTTGACTAGGAATAGCTAACCGCACTGGTTTTTACACAGCATAATGGAACAGCATGCAACATAACATCCACCAAACAGGCCTCCATTGTTTTTCATCCGAGCCCCAAAACCCTGTTGCAAAGGTGACAGCAGTTCATTCGTGTTACATCTAAGCTCGTCCCTGTGTTGATAATTGATAATGGCTATAGGACTTCACAGGCCCACAACAAAGTGGGTGAAGGTTTCCGCAAATCGCAGCCCGTCCCTCACCGCTCTGTGACTGGAAATCCTCGCTCCCTGCCAAATCCTCCCCCCCCCCCCGCCCCACCCTCCCGCTCCTGACTGCGACGGGTCGCTCCTGGCTGTTACGGACCACTGCCCCTACTGTTTCGGCTCCGGCACCGGCGGCTCGGGAGGCCCGGGCGGACAGAACGGGTTGGACTGCGGGTGCCGACCGATGGCGTCCGACACCTCGCTGCAGCTGACGAACGGCGTCTCGACGATGTAGACCGTGACGTCTCCCTCCTGCAGCGGTGGCCGGCTGGCGACGGCCGGCGGCGAGTCGCCGAGACAGAACGCCGGGTCGTCGCCGAGCTTTGTCAGCTTCACCTGCTCTCCGGCCAGGGTGGCCGCCCGGCCGTCGGCGGCGAACCTGCTGTCGGCGGGCGGTACCGACTCGGTGATCACGTGCCGACGGAGCAGAGTTCGCTGCAGCTGCTGGTCTACCATGAACGGGTCGGAGACGTCGCAGGGTCGGATCCGGCACAGACCGCCGTCAGTGACGACCAGCACGGTGTGCGGACCGCTCAGAGGGCTCAGCCCGTCGGCGGCGTCCCAGGCGAGCACGCGCCGCCACAGCGCCAGGAACTCGTCCACCTGCTGAGCCGAGCTGAGCACGCCGGGGACGGCCGGTACGCCGCTTCCGGAGGACATCTGCAGGGGGGCCGGGGCGCTGTTAGCGGGTCGGGTCGGCGGTATATGGGGGCGGGACGTGGACACAGCGGCCAGGCGACGTCCACGGAGACACTTCACTGGAAAGATCACATGAAATTACCGAGTACCCCTTTTTGCAGCGTGAATAAAATCACCTGCCCGAGATTATAGTAAGTCTAAAAAGGTAAATTGTGAATAGCTTCTTGAATAAAATGGTTGACACTCTAAGCTATTTGAGAAAAAGAAGTTCGCGCACTTCACCTTCAAACTTTACAAAATATGATGGAACTGGCAAATCCCACCGTCCACCCTACCCCCTAACAGCCCTTCTGCCGCCTCACCTTGTCTCTGATCGAGAAGTCTTCCCTCAGCGTCGATCACGGGCCTCTGCGCGTGCCACACCCCTCCGCTACGACCTCTCTACCACAACTGGCCAAGGCCCAACTGGCATCGACGCCGCCTCCGCCGCCCCGTAGTCCGTCCGCGCAGACTTATCATCAGGCGTGTGACGTCATCCACGCTACGCCGGTCCCGCCCCCTGAGTCACCGTTTTTGCCAAACTGCGCGGCGCCCGGCGGCGCTGGTCCTGTATGACGTCATATCGCCGACTGGGTGCCTCAAGGCCACACCCTTCCGTCGGTCGACTGGGGAGAGGTAGAGGGGAGGGGGAGAGGATCGACGCTGCGGGCGCCCGCTGCTGTCGGCGGTCGACACGCGCCGAGCGGCCCCGTATGTTTCTGTTGGTCGATGCGGCAGACAGCTTGTTGCGAGCCGCTGAGTCGACCTTTTAGCGGTCATCACGATGAAAGACTGTTCAGTCGAGGTGTTTCATCGTGGAGGGTCATCGCCATTGTCAGAAATATCTTTCACGTGAACTAATCACATGTTGCGCCTGAGCTGTGGACTGCTTGGATTGGGATGGTGCCGATCAAATTTCAGTAGCACGGAGAGGTGATGTGATGTGAATTTCGCAAATAGTTATGTGACACGCTGCTGTTTGTGACAAAGTGCATCATGTGCATTTGTTATGAATCACGTCCCATGTGGCACTGCCGTACGTACAATCCATTTTTATTTCCATTGTCACCATCCACCAGTCAGCCCCCAGACAGCTCACACCTGAGGAAGGGAGAGGGTCTGTCGGGTAGTCCGCCACAGGTGTCCGTTTCTGTAGCGCCACACGACTATGTGTCACCTCCCATCCGTCACCCCCCGGGCCATTCCGGATCTGTTCTGTACCACTCACAGCTGGCGTTGTACTGGCATTGTGGCACCGGCACCGAGCAATAAATCGCCCTGACACAGCTGTGGCGGTGTATCGGCGACAGGGCTGGTGCTGTGGCGATGGCGCGGTCTGCGGTGGAACGGTCAACAGGACAAAAACGTCGCATGTTTGTGGCTGATGTGGATCGTTATTACCAGAAATGTTTGGCAACGGTGCCGCAGCCGTGTGAACACGGAAGCGACCATACGCTTTCGGCTTTCCATTAGTCTGTAATTTTCATATGCACCGTTTCTCTCGTCCCGTGCCCTCCTGCATTAGTGCCGCATTGCATCGCTCATCCCCGTGTTTGTTTGTTTCAGCTGTCGGAGTCTCAGCGGCGCCAGTTCATCGCAGCTATCGAGACACCGGCATCTGGCGGCGACCCCACGTACAAACAGCTGCTGTTGACGCTGACAGATGGCAGCACCGTGCCGGCCACCAGCGGCTGACCGGGCGGGGGAGGTGGCGTCCCTCTGAGGGAGGTAAAGACGGTAGTGTAGACGGCACTGTGCAGCTGAGCTCTGGGGATACAGGGTATACTGTGAGGCTCGGCGTAGGTTAGAGATCCAGAGTTCCGGTGCCAATATTTTGACCCTGCTCGGAGGGAGGCGGGCGCTGTATTTTCGAAGGGACCTGAGTTGATCTGCGCCCCTCTGGGCGTTAGATGCTGGTAGTTCGAAGGTAGTGTAGTGAGTGAGCTGTTGAATCAACAGTAGTCGGTATATCCGTATATGTATATTATCTGGAGACCGGGAGCTGGCCGTTGGACTAAGTCGATCACCAGAGGCGGTATTCAGAGTATTTATCCTAACCGATGTGGCGTGCTGGCTTGTGGTCCTCCTAGACCACCATCCATCTCCCAGTGTGTGTTCTGTGCCAATATCGGGAGCACCAGGGGCCCGGGCACCAGGGAAGTCCTCTGTTAGCAGCCCCATGCCTGACACTGGAGGCGTCTCGTGTGTTTCTCGCACATCCATCTCGCTTCAGGACAGACCGTCCCACCCGACAGTGTGTCGCCTTGGTTTAGCCTAGCACCCACACGAGCTGCGTTTGTGATATGACCGGCCGGCGCGAGAACGACTTTTGTTGCGTGCGACGCACCGTATCCTGCTTTCCTTTGTCACTGTGATAAACTCGCGAGTCGGTGTCGTTTATTTACAGAGCCGGTGACTGTTGTGTTGGCTGTTGTCTGTTTGGTTAGCTGAACTGGATGGGGGATCGGTGGGGTTAATGAGCGTCGAAACTCGAAACTAAGGGGGCTGTCACTGGCCAGCTCGATCGGTGGAACCCAGCCGTGTGAGGAAAGACGACACTATGTCGAAATATATCTCGTGTGAAACTTAATGCCGTCTGTTGTTGGAAGGGGACTGTGCGCTCGCTGGATGTCCTCAGAAACGGCATCAGCTCAGTAAGTCAGGCCCAATGCCCTAGCAATCCCACATGCCGCAGAACTAGATCTTCTCCCAAAGAGCGTAATACATAATGCACATTGCACACTCATTCTTCCGTGAATGTTCAAACCAACTTCATAGCTCAATAAATTTCCACTATCAATTCCAACGACCCCTTGCCCATAAAAAGGAGACGTTCAGCTGGATCCGGCAAAGTGGGTATGAGCTAATGTGATTTTGATTTTAGTCATCTAAAAATAGTCCAGAACAAATGAACACAACCTGAGCCCGGTATCTATATTACTAGGGGAGAGTGGGGCAAAGCGGCCACCCGGGGCAAAGCGGCCACCCATCGTTTTAGCCCTCCACATCTGGCGTCAGTTCCAATTTATGGTTTCTAATTATACTTCTCTTCGCGGCCGTTCGAATGAGCCAGACCGTGGTTTCACGCCCATCGCCATTGTTCTGTGAAACACGGAAAAGCATTTCTTGCCAAGTAACCAACTACGTTTACAGTTTTTAAATGTTATTTTATTCCATAACCATTTGGAATTTTTATAAGCGTTCTTGTCCATGCATTGTGTGGTTATCGTACATGACTCCTACCAATTTTAATGCTTTTTACTCCACTTATAGCTGAGCTGGAATATTTTTGCCTCGGACGGTATGCGCGGGGCAAAGTGGCCGGGGCAAAGTGGCCAGCCCCCAATTGGCCATAACTTGTTTCCATTTGGATAAAAACATTATTTATATTCAAATGTGTCGTCAGGCATTCAGTTTGACCATTTTTCGGTTACAAGAGTTACCAAATAATGCAGTTAAATGTTTTTCCATGAAAATCCTTTATTTGTTTATCTACAGGTGGGAAGATAACTAAGTAAACATCCATCCTCGCTTAAACTTTGTCACCATCAAATAGCCTAGTCGTATATGAGGCAACTATTCATTTTCTCATATCGGGACTTCAGAAGTCGCCGGTGGCCGCTTTGCCTCAGGGATGGGGCAAAGTGGCCAATATGCTATAGGTTTAAAGTTTTGTCAATATCTCCCATATGTGAACGCCTTTGGAAATGAAACGCAGTTGGAATAAAAGGCAATTTAATAGGGAGCACATTGGTATAGAAAGAATCTTTCCAAGTTTAGAAATCAAGCGTCGGCATCGTATAAAACGTTAGGGTGGCCGCTTTGCCCCACTCTCCCCTATTTGAGGAGGGTGCGTCTGTCCGTTACCGAGGTCCCGACTTGGTCGTGCTTTGCGTGGACTACAGGCCAGGCCGTTGCACCTAGCGCCCTGAAATTTGCACAACTTATAGATCAAGGATGCGCGACGTGCCTTTGAGGGGTCTCAGCTCGATCGGATTGATAGGGAGCGCGTGGCGCGTGCTCAAAAAGTGCAAATTCGCGTCATAGACTTTACATGTATAAATCGGCGTGCGAAATCGGGCGAAAACGGCTAATTTTGGCCGACACGGGTCCAGTTCCCGTGCAATATCTTGGTGACCAGGGGTCCGACCGGCACGGGGAAAACAGCATCGTGTACAGAATTGAACGGGCTATTGAATGGTGTGCAATGCAGAGGATAGCACGCGCCACGTGCACCGGAGAGGGCACTTTTATTTGAAAAATTGCGGTTTTTGAGGGATTTTGGAATTAATTTTATTTTTAGGTGACCGTTAAATGGAGTGAGTTGAATCAACGCCTATTTGCAAGAGAAAGGTACCGCCTCTCATATAACAATTGTGAAAAGCTGATGGATCCAAATCAAGGTGGTGCAAATCACAGGAGAAAATGGTGTTTGTCAATTTTGTGCCACTTTATTAATCACACGGGGTTTGCTGCATAACCTGATACCTTTGGCAATTGAATATGGTACCGTTGGATAGAGCATTCAATTCTGTCCAATATTCACTCTTCATTTTTGCATGATTAGCAACAGTATCCTTAAAAATGTAAATGTTCCAAACCATTACATTGTCATTTTTAGCGAAATTCATCGATGGCCCTCAAAAGACTTCACGCCAGTTTTCGAATCATTCTAAAGTAGAACGCATGATAATACGACACGGGCACCTCGATGCGATGTATCTTTATGTTTTCTTACAAAATGCTTGGCCGTCAAAAAGCAATCGAACGAAATGGATATCCACCAACCAAATCGACACAGACCAACCCAATACCCACGGGTCAAAAAATCCCCCCTTCGCGTTGCGGAGCACGCGGGTAACCCTAGTATGATTCCACTTCCAGTCACCTTCAGCCGGTAACGCGCGAAAGCGCTCTGCATCGAATATCGCATGAAACAAGCATTCTTTTACAGGTGGTCTATACAAACTTATTCAAGTATAAAAATTGAGCTCATATCCATCCCAGTGCAAAACGTGCGCCAAGTACCTGGATTGAGCCATTGGTCTCAACTGGAACGGCACAAACACCAAACCCAGTCTGTACATGGTGAGGGATCGCAACAGTTTTCCCCATCACCAATTAAAATCTGTCAAATTCAACCACTAATTATCCCACGCCTGTTAAAGCGTCATGTCTTCATCCACTGATGTTCTGTCGATGTCCCACAGCCGCGCAGTGTAAAACTCGTCACCCGTATGTGTTCTCACATACTCTCCTCCCTCGGCCTGCTGGCTGGCCCCGGGCCGAGCGCTCCTATCAGCGCAGGCCGCAGAGCGCCGCCCTGCCTCTAGTTTTACCAGACGGGCGACACCGTCCAGCTCACGGCGGAGCCCGCCTGGGCCCGGGCCGCGAGGGAGCCGTCTTGTACCGCGGTGCCGCCCTGCCTGGTCCGGGGGGACGCCCGCGCTGAGGCGGCGGCCGCGCTCCACCCGGCGGCGGCGGCCGTGGCCTGCCCTGGGGCGGTTGGGACCTCCCCTGGGGCGGCGCAGGTCTTCCGTTCGGCGGTGGAGGCCTTCCCTGAGGCGGTTGGGGCCTCCTCTGTGGCGGCGGAGGCCGTGCTCCTCCGCGGGCCGGCGGTGGCTCTTCCCGCATCCCGCCGACAAACGAGGCCCTCAGACTGCTGAGCGCCGCGCCGCCCCACTGCATGAACGAGGCGCGCAGGCCGCCCTGGCGCGGCGACAGCCTCTGCTGCTGCTCGTCGATGGGCGGCAGACGCAGCTGCTGTTGCTGCGGCGGCTGCTGCTGCCGCTGCTGATAATACTGCTGCTGCTGGTGCGGCTCGCGCGGGGGCGTCGGTCGCATCGGCCGCTCTGCCGACGGAGGACGGCGGGTATCCCCTGGAGCGGGAGACCAGCGCGAGGCCGAGCCGCTCTGCGGGGCCGCCGAGTTCGAGACCTGGATCTCGGGCGTCGGCAGGCGGATGGCGGGCGGCGGCGGTGCCCGCGCCGGCGAGGGCTGGCGCGGCGGCTGACTCGGCACGGGACTCTGCGGCGCCGGCAGCGGCAGCGGAGACGGCGGCGGGGTCTCCATCGATTCGTACGAGCTGGACGAGGCCAGGCTGAGCTCGTGTGACGAGTAGCCGTCGTGGTGTCCGCAGTGTCGGCCGGCGCACAGCGCCCGGGACACCACCCAAACAGCGATACTCAACATCATGCCGTTCACGAAACAGAACACAGCCGTCATCACCGTGTAGCCGATGTAATGGATGCTGGCGCCGCCTCTGTCGCGCGCGCCTGTTTTGCCACAATCGGGCACCTCCTGGAATGTAACGTTGAAAAAGATGTTGGCAATCATCTCAAACTTCTTTTGGTCCGGAGCGTGCATTTTCATGTAGCCCAGCGTGTGGCTGGTGCTGGCGTGAGACATGAACAACAGAGTTTCTTCGTTGAAGAAGTAATCTAAGCAGTAGGTGCGCCAACCCAGTGCCGAGTGCTTCAGCAACAATGTGAAGTAAAGTTCACACCAATTGTGATAAATCGTATCCGGAACCTGTAAATGAAATGGCATAGTTGAAGCGGCACCAATGAACGAATGAAATGTGCGCAATGATTCATAACTTTTGCAGCTCCTACTGGAGATTGGAGAATGTAAATGTTACTTCGAAAATTTAAAGATGCATGTTAACGTGCCAAAAAAAGCAACTTCGATGGAACAGACAAACTCGATAAGCGAGGAGATAAATTGCGTGCGACCTCGTCAAGGTCGTGACCTCTCGACTCCCCAACTCGGTAAAACGGCAACCTACCGGCACCAGCACTCACCGGGCCCCAGGGGGCAATGCCCCACAGGTCACTGTTTTTCCTACTGCGCAGCGGGCGCAGTGAGCTGGTGTTGACCAGGATCAGCGGCCTCATACAGCCGGGCGGCATCAGTGTCAGGTCGCAGGCGTAGAACGAGCTGCCGTCGTACTGCAGGCCGATTTCGGCCAGTGTGAACGTCGACTGGCTGCGCAGCTTCACCGAGCAGTTGGAGCGCAGCGGGTCGCCCTCGGCCGGCCAGGTGCGCCTCGTGCACGTGTCGCCGCCGTACCCCGGCGGACACACGCACTTACAGAGCCGGTCGTGGAAGCCGCCGTTTGCACACGGCTCCTTGTCGGTACAATTCCACACCCGTTCGCAGTCGTAGGCGCGCACCAGGTCGCGGTGATCGTAAAACGAGAAGCCCATGTCGCGCTGACGTTTGTAGTCGATAATCCACTGGTGGCTGACGGGTAAAGGGATGTGATTTAATATCGGTGGGGAACGGAAGTGACCCATGGCCGGGTGAACCTATTGACAGCAAACAACAAGACATTCATCCAACACCAGTCATATACCCAACAACCGATTTGGACAATGCCTCTGCGGGACTACCTATAAAGTTTGAACGAGTTTCGTATTTGTAAAATTACAATAGTCAATAGCAAACGCGATGAACATAGCCACGCTGAAAGCATGCGTCATTCGCAATATCCGTACCGAATGTTTCGAACTGCCATCACCATGCCGTGCTCGATGGCCTGCATGTCTTCGATGGCGCCGTGGCGCAGCGTGCTCGCCGACGTGT